GGGGCGAAGAATAGCGAAGCTACCAAAGAACCTAGGAGAGAAAACCCTTGCGAAAAGTCGTTCTTTGTGGGAACGACGACGGCTGAACGGATGGGTACACGAGTCTACCGACCGGAAGATACAGTAGCGAAAATATACTGCCGACTCGAGGGAGCAGAAGTGCGAGGGGACGTCTGCCGCTGGCGTCGGTCGATGGAATCCCGGTCGTCCTGCTGGACTCCTCCCGCGTACGTCCGTCCCTGGAAAGCGTTTGACCTCCGTGCGAATCGCGGATCCATTCCTGGTCGCCGGTGCTCTCAGCGAATGTGTATCGCGAGTCGGGATCTGATTACGCTCTCGTATACGGGCGCGTCTTCAATCTGGCAACAGAAGTCGTATAATTGTGATTTTAATCGAGACAGGAAGCTTCATCAGAAGCGATTCCGATGCGATAAATCTCGAATTCATCTCGCTGAGAGTGAATCCACGGAACGGAGCGTTCCCACTCGGGCGAGTCCGCTGCGGTATCAAGCCGATTCATCGGTCAGCGGACCCGCTACGAGCTGACGACAGTGATGTTTGTTCTCAAGTTGCCAGCTATGAGGGCCCTTCGATTCGGAGTGCAGATCGAGGCCACGAGGCGCGTGCCGCTTCCCGATGTGGGATTCACGGGCAGAGTAGGGGATGAGTCGTCGCCTTGGAGCACGCCGAATCGAAGTGAGAACATAATGCGCCGCACTCGCTGTCTCTTTCTCCAGCGACGGTGGACGAACAGCCTCGAATTCATCGCTACGAGAGCCCTTACCGCCACGTCGGATACCAGCAGCCCATCCGTATGATTGTTCTTGGGCCCGCTGATCTCTGCCTCGTCGCACCTATCGTGACTCGTTCGTTCGTTCGATTGAGTCTCGTGGCCGTGACTCCTGTGGGAACTCGACTCAAGATCCTCTGATCTTTATTCATCTTCTATCGGGATTCCCGGCCAGACTTGAACGCTGACCCGGGGCGGCAAAACCACTCGCGGCGGCGCTGCACTCTTTTCTGGTTTTCTTGCGAGGGATTCGCGACCAGGCCGACAAGTAGCCCATCCTTGGACAGGGACCCGTAAAATACAGAGCGTGATGACGTGAGTAGGCCGGTCACGAGACATAGTCGGTGCCGTCACGGCTAGTGTCCATTATTTAATTTAATAAACGGTAGGAGTGTGATCAGACCGTTTACAAATTACCTGCAGAAAGCGTGACGCGGCACGGTCGCTGGACATGCTCCGCGGATGTCCCATGGCAGAGGAGTCTCCGACGCCGAACCCTTGCTCCACCGACTGAGCGGTGAAGCTACTCGATTATATCGTAGACGAGGCGGTTGTATCCATGAATGAAAAAGTGGGCCCGAGTGGCGGTGCCAGTGGCCGATGATACCAAACTGAAATTTAAGGACTACATCGAGAGCAGCGGAGTGGAACGTCACGAAGGGAAACATCAACTGATTATCTGAGTGGCCATCCTCTCAGAATGTGGGAACTATCAGACACGGCACTAAAAATGGAGGGCGTACCTCCGTGTGCGAACGAAGAGCGCTCTTGTCAGGCTGAGATGTCAGCTGACACAATCAATAACCTACTGCGTACGTATCGTACAGTATCGTACATTATCGTAGATTATCGTAGATTATCGTACATTAACGTACATTATCGTACATTATCGTACATTATCGTACATTATCGTACATCATCGTACACTATTATCTGTCACCGATATCGCTTCACCGACGGGGTCCCCGTGTTCTGGATGGAGCTCTGCGAGATAAGAGCGTGGAATCGGACAAAAATCATCTCCGCTAAGCGGCAAGGAGCTGCTCTCACTCTCCCAGCAAGACTTGGATTGGAATCGGCCTCTCTCCGTCTGAAGAAAACATCGCAGCGAGAGGGAATACTCAAATGTACCAGCCGGTCAGAGAGGGTCAAACGGAGAGCAAACGACGAGCATGGAGGAAGAGAAGTCATGCAAGTCAACGAAGTCATCATAATCGACCGACCTCGCAGATGGTTGGCACTTGCCATGGTGGCGACCGCCTTGCTACAGGTGCCCTGACACAACGGAAACTCGCAAGCAGCAGGGTCACCACCCGAGCGGAACCGATCTTTCTCCATCCCTGTCTCATGGAGGATCATTGGGGACCATGGCTGTGGGATAAATACAAAGGGGGTCGAAGAGAATGAGCGGGGAAGTCTCGATGAGGGAGCCTGTTAGGCAGCGATGCAGTAGCGAGGCTGGGGGAATTCGCCGCTACAAACCCCTGATTTCGACTTGATTGAATTAGTTTCCAGCCTCTGACAGTTAGAAACGACCAGTTGAGCAGACCGCTCACATTCTGCGAAGTGAGCACCGCTAGGGAAACCTCCTCCTGGTTGGTCTGGGGCGAAGATTTGAAAAGGAGCAGCGAGTATGGTGCAAGACACGCAGAAGTCACCGAAGCCAAGTTCAAAGAATGCTCCGCCGGAGTGAGATTGCCTCGAAGGGAGGAGACGGAGGCCGAGCATCGCTCGTTCGATACGTCGTCGACTGGACATGCGAACAGCGCACGCAATACGCGCGCACATTGCGGAATGTTCATTACTCATTGAGTTTCGACTCGATGGGCCGGCGCAAGCTGATTGTTTCACCCTGTAGGTTCGGCAAACGCACGGGGAGAAGTTTCCATAAACGTCCCTGGGGGACTCCAACACCTCGGAAGCGTTGTCGCTCTCTGTACCCAGCATTGTACCTCCGAGGTGCTGGAGACTCGAGTCAACGCTTGTTCGCTCGCTCACTCACTCGCCCGCTTGCTCGCTCGCTAAGCTGGCTGACCGACCAGTCAAGCAGTCAGCAGTTTCTACCGCGATGTCCCCCGTCCCAAAGAGACATTTTCTTTCCCCACTTGCACCCAGCTTGCTTAATTAAATTTGCATACCTTCGTCATGTTCAGCGGCTGAGGGAAATCTCGCGGTTCTTTGATAGCAGCCCGAATGCTCAGTCATTTTGAGCATCGGTATTCTCCTTCGACCTTCACGGAGACTTCTTTTTCGTGACAGCTACCCCGCATTATCATTCGTGTTTTCTCATGGATCCGAGTCGGAGAGCTCTAGCCTCGCGATGCACCCCGAGAGGGGCCAACCTTCCCACCGAACCATCAGGAGGCAGTTTAAGAGCTTGATTTGTCGGACTCTTGGTCTCCCAGGAGGTCAGGCCGGTTCACACCTAATTGAGGACATGCGACAGAACTTTCCGAAGGCATTGTCGGAGAGCGACGCAACCCCACCGAGTCTCGGAATTGTTTACCCCAGGAATGAGTCCGCCAATCTGCCGGGATCGTCGAGGTTTCTCGGCGGTTCGGTCATCCGGAACCCTGCCGTTTCTGTAGAGCCCTCCCCTTCCGAGATGATCAGCGAGCAAATCTACATGTTGAGGTGTCGACCGGAGTTCTCGAACAAGTTATCTCGCGCCCGAGCCTCGAGGGAGATAGTGCTGAGCTCTTAAGGCTTTTAGGGACTCTCGGCTCGAACTCACGTGACGCGTCGCTCGGGAACTGGCCGTGCTCGACTCGAGATCCCGATAAGAGATAATCAGCAAAACATCGGGTTCTGACGACACCACCTCAACTTTGGTCACTGAAAACGCTCAGCCTGTCCGCTCTGCATCGGAACTTGCGATTGCTTCGAGTTTCGCAGAGCGGAGACAATTGACGCAGTTCCCACTGAGTTCTGTGTTGGGGGAGCGAGGAACGCTGCTAGATGTATTAAGTTGAAATTGGTTGTGACAGCAGACTCATCCCTGAAGTCTCCGCGGGATTATGGCCAAACATAACATGGCCGTGGCTGTGGAAATGGCTGATAAGACCGGCGGTCGCACGCTTGATCACGTGAGCGCGCCGTCGCACTAAGCCTAGCGGACCCGAATTTTGACATATTGCAGAAAACATTCCCGTTGACGCCGAACGCCCGAACGGGTGGGAGTCTATTACGGATCGGGAGCTCTCTCCCCTCGATTCCTACCTACCTACCTACCTACTCTAATAGAGGATATGGCTCTCTCGTTATTATTTTTTATTCCTCTGTATTGCATGGCTCTTTTTCTCTCGCTGGCCTTACGGGATTCCTTCCGATCCGATCGACGACCGGTATAATCCGATATTACTCGGAGTCCGGATTCGAGACCAAGTGACAGGCCCGCAGTAGGTTCGTCCGAACATCCAGGGAGTCGGTCATCCAGCCAGCCATTCGCTGCTCACTAGAGAGAAAACGCAGCACTAGAGAATTCGTGAAGTGATGTCAAGTGTGGACAAAAACTCATGTTTGTCTCTTGTCGCCGGAATGATTAGATTATCGGCAGTGTGTGAGTATGTGTCCGTGGGATTCGGATGGCAAAATGATCGGCTGGTCAAAGACACCCCTCCGCTCGTTTCTTTGCACAGTAGGCGCGTTGACAACTTGTGCCGAAGGCGTTATAGGCGACCGGAGAGCACAAACCGACCATCTAGGCAACCGACCGAAAGAATCTAATCAAGCCCCGCCTTGCCACCACTTGTGGGCGCTATTTGCTCGTTTCTTATGATTTGCCAAAATCAACTTCGCAACTCCATCATGTCAAGGCGAACACGCCACGCCATACATTCGTGTAGACGTCTTGCGAACAAGGCGGTGGAGGAAGCGAGAATCGATGGGTCTCTCCATTTTTTCACGCCCCTCGAGCACAATGCAAACTTAGCGAGAACCCTCCACCGAGGACGAGCTCCTTGCGCCCATGAAGATATGGCCGGAAACTTCGTACCCACATGGAGTCCAGCCTGGTCGAAAAAGCTCCTGCTCCTTGACTGTCTCATATTCCTTCGATCTTCGTGGAGACGTAACTGACACGTCTTCACTCTCTTCAAAGCGTCTTCATGGGAGTCCTCGATGGAAGCTCTCCGTTAGCTAAGGTGGTCTCGTGGGTCCGCGTCCGCAGCAACCTAGCTCAGTCCTGGGAGTCCGTAATAGAGAAATGAATCATTTTATTCTTGAGAGCGCAGACGATTCGATCGGAATTCTATCCGAAATAGAATAAATAGTCTCTTGAGAGTGTAGTCTATACAGAGGAGATATCACAGCGTGGAAGTACAGAAGAATCTTCAGCGGTTCGCAAGAGCGCGAGCCGTCTGTACGGTCTGAAAGATGTTGTCTTCTATTCCCTTGGCTATCTAAGAACCTAGTAGTGTCCGTGACCGTACGATCCGTGGCCATAAGATCCGTGACCGTACGAGGCGACGGGAGCGGCATGGGCGATGGGAGCTGCGTAAGCAACGGGAGCCTTGGCGTAGGTGGCGATGGGAGCCTTGGCGTAGGTGGCGATAGGGGCCTTGGCGTAGGCGGCGACGGGAGCGGCAGCCACGGCCTTGATGGCGATCGGATGGGCGTCGTAGTGCGCAGCAGCGGGAGCAGAGGAAGCGGTTCCGGGCTCGTTGGTCTTGATCTGGGCGCGGAAACCGTGTCCGTCAGCGACGTACTCTACGTGTCGGGAGATCCCGCGAGCGTCGGTGAACGAGTAGGATCCCTTCTTGTTGTTGTGCTCATCGGAAACTTCGTGACGGGATTGCTTGGTTCCGTATTCATCGACGGAATCGTAGCCGAACTTGTACGGCTGAGGGGGGTACGCGATCTGCTTGGCGATCACCGGGGCGGCGATCTGCTTAGCAACGATGGGGGCGGCGATCTGCTTGGTGACAACAGGCGCAGCAGCGGCATACGCTAGAGGAGCAGCGTGGCCATAGGACGCGAGCGCCGGGGCGGCAGCGTGACCGTAGGAAGCGATGGCCGGAGCGGCAGCGTGACCGTAAGAGGCGATGGCCGGAGCGGCAGCGTGACCGTAAGAGGCGATGGCCGGAGCGGCAGCGTGACCGTAGGAAGCGATAGCTGGAGCGGCAGCGTGCCCGTAAGAGGAGTGACTGATGGACGCGTGACCATACGACGCGACGGCGGGTGCAGCATGGGCGTATCCCTTAGCGTAGGCGGGGGCAGCGATGGCAGCGTGTCCGTATCCTCCGTAAGAGCTCAAATGCGTAGCTTGGGCGGCCACGGCGACGGCGGAAGCCACAGCGATCTAGAAGCAAAATTAGAGTTCCACTGAAATCCTCGGCTCCATTCGACATCGATGTTCGGGAAGTATTCGACTGCATAACTTTTCGCAATTAGTATCTCAACAGCTCAATAGATAACATACTTTGGCGAACATGTTGATTTGCGTTTGATGATGTGTACAACCCTTTTTCGTTCGATATATATCTGCATACTGAAGACCCTTGCCCCTGCAGTGGCGAGGGTGTGCCCCCGTAAGTCGACAGAAAAAGCTTCCATGATCGAAGCTAGGATAATTGCTCATTTATGTTCCATGTTCTCTTAATTCATCGAAATTTTCTCCATGTCCCGCTTCTCACAGAAGTGTGTGATTCATGAAGGGAAGACCTTTCGACAAGTGTCGTCGACATGGGTGCGGCTTTACATCTGCGCGCGCTTGAATTACCTTGATCGATTTATCGAGTCATTCCATTATCAAAGTGTCGGTACAGCTCGGGAAGGAGGGGCATCGCAAATAGCGAAGGGACAACGGCACTGAGCGGCACCGTCGTAATGAACAAGGCAGAAAATACGTTCAGAGAATGTCCTGGAGGGATGATCCCGATGTGGGCAGCCTGACGAACTTTCAAAATCCTCGCCGCCCATGCCGCCGGACGGGCTCTCCCGATAGGCTCCTCGATTCCACGAGGCACCGCGATTCGACCAATGTTTACTGACTCGACGAATGCTCTGCTGTCTCATTTTCGGTCATTTGAGCTTCGTGTGCGGAAGCCCGAGGATTTCCGTCGATTCAAACGGGAAACGCAACCGGATGACGTTGCTGCTTGATACATAGCTCTCAGAAAATTTCATCGCAATGATTCAATCGTCGCCATTGTCTTTCTTCTCCCCACAGAAGACTGAAAGCTTGCAGAGTGACTCGCTCGCTGCACAGCGGGTCGCGGAGGCCTGTGTAATCGTAGACTTTTGTTTATGATAGCGGTATGCCCCGAGGCTGGCGGATAGTTAAACGCGAGTCACTTCATGAGCAGCTTCTGTTGGGGAGAATGGAAACCGAAAGTCGCGCCTTGCCGCAGGCTCAAACTCAAGGTCCGGTCAGCTTGTATCGTTAAAATCTGAGGAATCCTGACGAACGCGCTCCATAGGCTGACCGCAGTCTGGCGGCCATCATCCTCGGCTCAGAAAAAACGTTTTCTTAGATGTGATAAGTGATAGCCATCAATGGTAACAGTCGGTGACCACGTATACGAATCGAATGATCAATAAATGATGGCTAGTCACGCCGGAAATCATCATTAGCCTTGTTTATCTTCGCTCGTTCGCGGATAAGTGCTGGTACATGATTCGGAGCGAAATCGCATACGTTGAACCCATATCGGAATGCCGTATAGCTAAGTCTCGCTTGAATCGAAATGGAAGAATTTTCCGAGAAGCGGAATAGTCCCCACCGAAAAAGCTGTATGACGTGGATCCGCTGAGGGTTGAACGACGTTTCTCAATGTACTTCAGATAAATTGTATGAATCTTCCTAACGAGAGGAACAAGAACGAGAAACACTCGAAGAAAGCCGATTTGAAAAACAAGCCATCGCTCGATATTAGCCGACATTGAGTCCTGTAGTAGTCTGCAGTCTACTCCCCATCGATCAAATCGACAGGATTGGGAGGCTTTTTGATTCTGTCTCGGGCGGAAGGGATGCTGGATACATTGCGCAAAGACCGTAGTCAGTCCATGTTCCGCAGGACGTTGGATCAAGCCTTGTTGTGTTTATATTCGCAAACGCTGCAGTCAGGAACAGGATTCAAATCGATTTGATCCTCACGAAGTCGATCTTTGGATCTCGCGAAGGCGATTCAGCTGTCATGTCTCTCTTTTGATAATTTGAAGGACTGGCGGCCTACGCGACTTCGTCTGTGGTCCGTTTGCTGAGCACCGCGTTTTCGCCGTGTTCGCATATCGTCCAGCGCACAAGTTTGATTATCTAGATGACGCTTAATCGCTCTAACCTTCTGGTCAAAATGGTTCGATTTCTGATGAGCAGACTGTTTGTCAATGTGTCGACCACGACCAGCTATGCAACGAATCCTTTCGCGCGAGCTCCGTCTAAAGTGGTTTCGATGTACTTCTCAAAACCGCCGGCAGCCACTTCCCTCCGGGGTTCCACGCAGGATTTTCTGGTGAGGCTCTCAGGAGCGGTCGCTGTTAATTTGATCAGAATAATTCGTTCCGATATCCAAGTTCATGTGTTAAGCTGCGATGTCGGCCCGCGACCGCGCAGTGAAGCTCGCGTTTTACACGATTTGGACAAAGCTGAAGTCTCACCGAATCGACTTATCGCCCGATTTAGAGCATCTTTGCGAAGTCCTCGCGAGATCCGTAGGGGTACGGAGCGGCCTGCTTCCCTGGTGTCCTGATAAATGACCGGTATCTCACAATCAGCTGAATTGGCCTATATCGCTCTTCAAGGAGGCTTACCAAGATACCATCTCCTTGGTCGGAGCATCGGACTGCGGAATCATCACATTTTATATTATTGTTCCATCATTCACCAAACGATGAAAATCAGATCAATACTATTGTATCTCCTGGCGGTTCCCTTGTCGCGGGGCCGCGCCGGTGTCCCGCGTTCCACCGTTCGATCGTTCCGGAAAGCCGAGGAGTCGACTGGGTGCAAGGCCTCGTCCGGCCACCGCTGCGAATCAGCGTCTTAGAGTCTAGTGCTTTTCCCGGAGGGAATCGTACCGTGGATGAGCACGAGCGAGCCCGCGCGGAGTGTTGCCGATATCGGGGGGTCAGTCTCGGTCCGCATTCAGTTTCCGACTGATGAGACATTCCGACCCTTGAACTGCGCCTCGCGACCCCGCTCCAGCTAGAGTTCGCCATAAAGATTCAGCGGTCTCAGAAGCACGATCTCGATGATCGTTCGTCATCGGATCGGGCTGTTCCTGATCTTGCAATTCCGTTAGCGAATTGTATCGTCCTGTGGTAAGAATACGCTAGGAGAGGATTCTCTAAATTATTGTCATGATGATCGCTCTCGTTGGGACTTGGACGAGCTCGAGAACGAGGCCACGTTCCTCGGTGGACGCAGTTTTGGATTGGACCGGCATTCTGAAATTCCGCTCGCCGTTGTTCCCCGGTGGAGATACTCCTCAACTTTTAGCAAGATTTCCGTGTCCATATAGCGGTATCAGCGCACCGCAGAAGTTCGATGGGAGCCACCGATGGAGGTCGATGCGTAGCCCCTGGCAATTGCGTGAAGCGAGGAAAATCCGAAGTACGAAATCACCCCCGGTTTTTCCGGTACAGAAATTCCGGAAATATCTCTTTCTTCCCTACGAATGCTCCCAGATGACATTCACCGATTTTTCAACGACTCCGGCCGTCATCTATGCGATCGAGAACGGGCAGTTCGCAGCGCCGCAGAGCTCGTCTTGTAAGGCACGGGTTCGAGATTTGCCCAAGAGCGATCCCGCAAGCCTGTGGCAAGCACCCGCTCCATGTAGCGGCAGCATAATCATTTCACAAATTATTCGTTGGATTGGGGAAGGGGTCCGACATAATAAACCTATTCTCTATTATTCAGTCCGAAATTTACATGCTTATACACATCGGGCTCAATAGTGCCCGGACGCGGCGTAGGCGGCGATGGGAGCGGCAGCGACAGCCTTAATCGCAACAGGGGCAGCGTTATAGTGGGCGGCAGCCGGAGCGGAAGGGGCGGTTCCGGGCTCGTTGGTCTTGATAGAAGCGCGGAAACCATGACCATCGGCGACGTAGTCAACCTGACGAGCGATTCCATGAGCATCGGAGAACGAGTAGGATCCCTTCTTGTTGTTGTACTCGTCGGACACCTCGTGACGAGACTGTTTCGTTCCGTACTCATCTACGGAATCGTAACCGAACTTGTACGGTTGGGGAGGGTAGGCGATCTGGGCCTTGGCAACGACAGGGGCGGCGGCAGCGTAGGCCAGAGGAGCGGCATGACCGTATCCTCCGTATGCGGGGGCCGCGATGGCTTGACCGTAACCTCCATAAGAAGGCGCTCCGTACGAAGCGGCGCCGTACGATGACGCTCCGTAGCCAAGACCGGTGGCCTGGGCGGCAGCCACGGCGACGGCGGAAGCAATAGCGATCTGTCGAGTTCGATCACCGAGAACATACATTAGAAAGGACCCACGCTGTAGAAAGTCCGGCGTTCCGGCGTGGAAATTATCTCGAGCACACAAAGGTCGAACAATGTGCTCGAAAGTCCGGTGGTTCAATCGGTGGACTGGCTTACCTTGGCGAACATTTTGTGGACGGTTGCTATCGACTGGGCTTTCTTGTTATTCCGGTCAAGATTTGTCCAGTTTTATACGATCCGGCTATCTTAACCTTGGTTAAAACTCTCCCCGAGAACGAACCCCACTCGTACTGGACAAACTGTGCAGCAGAAACACCGCTAACGTGTCTTTGGTTATCTAAACGGCGTTCATGACGGTGGCCAACAAAAGTCAAGTCAGATCTCATCCATTCAAGTCAGATCCATCGGCATTGTTCGGGGGACGCGGAATCCGCAGCGTTCTTAATGAGTCTTAATCGCGTCACTGATGGTCGTCTACTCCTAAGTCGAGCCACGAAGTGGAGTAGTTTTCCTGGGATTTCGTGTGAACATAGTGAATTTCCGCGCGTCTGAATGGACCCTATTTTCTGTCGACACCGACCACAGTCGAAACCGCGATTGGATCGTCGAAGTTTCCGCTGTGAGAATGATATTGAATGCAAGCTTAGATTCACTGTAAACAATCGCGCCTGATATCAGAGGTCTCGAACAATCCGTTCTCTTAGAAACCCGACCGATGCGCGGGAGGAATCGCATAAAAGAATCCAGTCGCAGTGACCGAGGTCCTCGAGGTCCTTACGGTAGGCTCCCCTGTCTCTAGTGGATTTTTCTGTGTGAAAGCGTCCGCGACGCAAGGGAGTCCCGGACTAATCCCGTTTTCGCCCCGATTTTACGATGTACCATGTGAAATGACTTGTAACTTGGAAGGTAGTAGCCAGTGAGACAAGCGACGATCGGATCACAATGCGAGCAACAGCCAACGCTATTTTGCCGCGACGTTATCGAACGTATGCAGAAAAAGTTTCGGAAGCCCTCGCCCAGTCGAGGCATGCGACAGCGAGCGGTCAACACAGCCTTGTAATCTTATCATCGCAGAAGGAACGGCTGTTTCTGTTAACCAGCGACGTTGGGGGTTGTTCGCCGGTCGATCTACCGACGGTCCAAACCAGCACGGGCTCTTTTTCGGATTTCTATCGTCATACTTCTCTGTACGACAGGCTAACGTATCGACGGACGGATGAATCGCTGTTTTGTTTATTAATAGCAATTAAGCTCGCGCAAGGATCAGTTTCCATCGACACGCGGGGAACGATTTATTCATCTCGTATATCTGTCATAATCTAGAGCTTTCTGATCATCTGGACGTAATTTAATAGACAGTCTGTTCCGACGAGAGGGTACGTTCTCCAACATGGATTGGTGTGCGGAATCGCGGCATTTATTGATTTTCTGCCGTCGAATCGACCCGTGTTCGTCGACGATCACGGATGCGTCAGTTCTTAGTGGATGCCGCTTGGAGTCTCATTTTGCGTCAGGGATTCCGACGTCGCCTCCACTCTCCGCTTGCTCAGGCTTCTGCTGGTCGATGAGAGCCAAAAGTTTCACGGCGGACGCGTTCGTTGCGTAAAATCGTTCATTGCAATTCCTCAGGAACTTGAAGAAGCTTGACAAGCAGATGGTTCGCAGAGGGAATATCTCGGTCACGGTCACGTTGTCCTCGCAGTCTTCGAGAGCCTGAAATCGAACGCGGGTAACGATGAGTCTTGGGGGTCACAGTTTCATCGTTCTTCTGGAATTTAGCCCTCGGGTTTTTTCCCCGTGAGGAATACCTCCTGTTTTTTCGCCTCTATGTGTATTGTGTAATAATTCTTCTCTATAAACTCAGGAGTTTCGAGCACATAAATTTCTTCGAGATGGCTACAGACCTTTCGAACGACCCGAATCGCCTTGAGAACCTTGTCGAGTTCACGCGTGTCATCGAGCGTGAAATTGAAGCATATGTGGTCTATTCTCTTGTATTCGAATTCCACTTCGTCGAATGCCTGGGAGAAGAGATACAGGATTCCGGCGGCGAATCGCGAGATCGTCTCCGAGAATTCGACTTGCAGGAGAACCGCAAATGGATGATCAATTGTGAGCAGGAGCTCTCGCTCGGTTTCCGTCAGAAAGCGCAGACGTTTTTCTCTTGAGGAAAAGTCGGCCCGAATCGTGATGCTGACTAAGCTCTGCTCGGGATCCTCCGTTTTCCGTGGTGCTAGATGATCTTCCGGGACAGTTTCCGGAGGGAATATCATGTAGTAGAGGTCGAGGAGACTTTGTTCGATGAACTTCGACACCGTTACAACCGAGCAGCTTTCGCCAGTCGAAATCTTCAGCGTGGTCTCATCGAAAGCTCCATCCTTCTCGTACAGCGATTCGGGGACACTCATGTGCGTGAAGACGTGCGGGTGGAGCTCTTGGAGTCGTTTCAGTAGGTCTCCGGCGTGTTCAACCCACCATCGTCTATTTTCGCGGTCTTCGTACGCTACCACGTTCCAAGCGCGACCTTTGGACAGCGACGGCTTCGTCAGTTTCGCGCAGCTCAGGCTTCTGCTGCGCTCTGCTTCGTCGGACAACCTCGTTACGTGAAGTCTACTGATGTACATATCCGCAACCATTGTTTTCACTGTTTCTAATTTTTCTCGTTGACGTTTCGACATGTGCTCGGAATAGTCCACATTTTCCCGGATCGTAGCAACTTGCGACTCACACAAGTTCCGACTGGCTTCCAAGACCACATTCTCGAAACTGCTATCGAGCCCCTCGCTGAGCTCCCCTAGAAGCTCTCCTTCAGCGTTGACGAGACGGTCGAGTTCGGGTAGGAAAATCTTGCCGATCTCGATGCGATATCCGAGGCAGATGATGTAAACCTCGGAGTTACTACTTCTGCTGCAAGACGGTTTTCGGATATGAACTTCATCGAAACACTTCCGCAGCATCTGGAGGATTTTCCGCGTTTTGCCTTTGAAGAATGTGAACATTTTGAGAACGAATGAGCCTCCGTTCTTCAAGAGTCGGAGAGCGCACCGGATCTCCACACAGAAGAGCGGCAGAACCTTCAGCTCCTGCTCCGCGGGACAATTCTGGCAGTCTATGCTCCCGTCCGCGGTCACCAAATCGAACTGATGGATGTCATCGTCATCGATATCCAACGAAAATATGTTTCCCGTCCCGGATTTCCCGAAAACCCATCGATCGAGAGTTTCGAAAATGAGACGGTCATCGACGAATGTCTGCTCGGTGGAGTTCCCTTCGAAATACGGATTCAGGGTCGAGGCTTTCCAGTCCCAATCGCGTGACGATCCGTAGGCCTGCAGAAGATACTGTTCGAGAGCTGTGATGAAAGCGCCTGGCGCCTCGCATAAATGAAAGCTCCTCAGATTCGCTCGTTTGACGAGTTGATGCTTGTAAACTGATAACAACTCGAAGAATTTCAGGAATGCCTGGGTTACCAACGGAATGTTTCTGCCCAACACGTGGCCAAGCTTGTGGAAAACCCCCGATGCTTTGTTACAATAAGACGTATGTTTCCTCCAGGAAACAGGTTCTTTGTCGTTCAGGAGTGACTTTGTCGCGTTCAATTCTGTTTCCAAACGATCGAATTCTTCCTGAATATCCGCCCGGCCAGACTCATTCCCGGCGTCCGCTTCCGGCAGGACATATACTCTATTGAATAGGCGTCGCGCATCCTCCCGCAGAAGCGTCGTGGACATATTCCTGGAACGCGAATGGAGACGGTACGGCTTAGTTGTGGGCTCGACCCATTGAAGTATCAAGTTCAGCAATTTTTCGCAACGTTTGTGTCTCTCCTCAGTCGAGGACGGGGTCGTTCGACGGGATTTCTTCCTATGAAAGGAAAACACGGCGGGTACAAATCGAGAATATGATTTATTTATACAATCTATCAACAATTCGGAAACCAGACATTTTGAGGACTATCCGAGTCTAGAACTGTATTGTTCTTCCATCATGCGCTCTGTTGCTTGACCGAACATCCATCCGTTTCCCTTATCTGCTTCGCTCAGGATTTTCTTCAGGGTCTTCTTGTCCTTGATATTCAATAGATGAAATCCCACGAGGGCGTAGTTCTCAACAACTCCCGCTATCGCCTTGCTGAGCGCTTGATTTTTCTTCATGAATGGATCGTCACATAGGAGATCGCAGATTTTGTCAAGATCCATAACACCCGCATAGTACTCGGAGTCGAAAGCTAAACTATCGCTATCCACCAGGTCGAACTTCGAGAGAACGTTTATGTGAGGCATTTCGATATTTATCATCATGCTCAGAGAAGAAAGCAGAATCGAAATGTACTTCCCGGGATCGGAGCAATAATGACCGTCGACCAAATGGACCACAGTGAACCTGAATTCCTCCCGTTGAAGGGAATGAAGAATATCTCTTATGCTGCTGTGGTGAGTGTAAAGCTCCACTTGTCCAGGACAATCGAGCAGAATATAGGTGTCGCTCGAGAGCTTGTTCAGTTGGTTGAGCAACCAATCCACGTTCTTCTCCAAGTATTCCACGCAATACACCAGAGCTCCGTTCGGTCCGAGGCTCAGCGTTTGCATGACGTCCGCCACCTTAATGAGATCGGCAAGATTCACAGTCGCTGTGTAAGGCAGCTCATCGTTCGCGGGGTCGAGATTCACGATCGCGAATTTTCGACCCTGCCCTTCCAGATACTGAGCCATCGCCGCGCAATACGAGGTCTTTCCGGATCCCGGAGGTCCGATTACACACTGTCCGAAGCGAACCATGACTGGAATTCAGGCTGAACTATTCGAACCTTATCGCACCTGAAACTTTTACGGTATTCATGAAGTTCGATGCTCCTTCCGGGCAATCCAGGTAATGGAATTCAATTCAAGTCTCTCCCCGAGCTTAGTCTCGTGATTAAGAGGATGCTCGCGCGAGCTTCGTCTCCCGAAGTGGCACTGTCCGCTCCGTGTGAATGTCAGGCGGGCCACTCGTGGTCTCTGATCGGAATGCGTTTTCTTTGGAGCATTCAGCTTTGCCATCGAATCAGAGCTTTAGAAACCAGCGCGAAATAATCTGTCACAACGGATCGTGAAGGATTCGGGATCATGAGGCACTCGTTTTCCTCGAAGAACGGAGCATTATAACCAGGGACGGCTCGGATCCATATTATACTCACTCAATTTCCAGAGTCCGAGGAGCGCTTATCTTGGAGGAACATCGACAGAAATCTCGGTTTTCGAACAAGTCTCCCTCCGATCCGTCGTGTTCTGCGCCGACCATGTAGCAGACGCCCCGCCGCAGGCCTGTTTGGGCGCCAAAATTCGGATTGGTTGAGGGTTCGCTGAATGAGCTCTGGATGAGTATTCCAAACGCACCATCTGCAGCTCACTCAGAGGGGGAAGAGGGGGCCCCCCTGCAGTTCCCGCCCATCCTTCGAAAATGATCTGGAGACGTGTGACTTTGACCAACAGCTGACTTAGGGAGATCGATCGTCCACTGGATATACGAGGGATATGACTTGGGATATCGTCGAACAATGACAGCCTGCTTTCTCAACGAGTTCTTCCGGCTCAGGAATTCGAGGAGCGACATTGCGCGACGGCCCCGCAGGTACTCGAAAGTTCCTCCTGTGGTCCGATCGAGAGTCCGGCTGGGGAAGATCCCTTTCCCGTTGTGCGTAATTTCAGGCGATGGGAGAATGAACGTTCTCCGGGCGATTCGTTCTTACAATTAGTAAGCAGCCCTTCCAGTGACTCGAGCCATCGAAAAATAATGTCATCCGAAGAGAGTTTCGGAAGACTACAAATATGATGAAAGCTACCACGCTTTTCGATCGGGAGCCCGACGCAAAAGCGGTTGAATTCATGAGGGACGACTCCATGAGCCGTTACACTGTCAACTCCGAATCGAGGCGCTCCGCAGTCCGAGTCATACGGCGTTGTTCAGAGAGCCTCTCCTGGCATCCTGTCGGACTTTCGAGATGATTGCAAGACAACGTTTCCTGCGAAGGATGCAGCAATGATCGGCGTATCGGGGAAAAACTCATCTCGATATTGAGTTTCGTAGCTGATCTCGAATGAAGTTCACACCGGTAACAAACGAGAATACTTCTTTTTATTTAGATTTCACATAATTTATTGTATGTACAATGTACTCTCGATATCTTGCCGCGTATAGTCAGTTCGCCGCGGCTGCTTTCTTCTTCTCCTTCTTCCTCAAGCCATCTATGTTCCCTGCAATCCAAATCAATGCCTAAGATATCGTCGTTGACGCTGAAGTGGCACTCTTCCTCACGGGAGAGAGCGTCGGGCTGGACATCAGGTTGAAAACCTCTCATTGACTCCTCATCATGAGAACGTGAACGGATTTTCTGAACCAGACGGAAAATTTCGACTCACCTCTCAACAATATAGAGTAAGATGCTTGGAATTTCATTGCCTCTTGGGGCGTAACGACAGTGGAAATTTTTCTGCTCCCTAATACAGCTCTCAGAAGGCATTTGTACTCTTTAGTTTGGGCAGGAGCGATGCTTTGAAGCTTCTCAAGCTTCTTTTTCAGCTTCTTATCTGGAATGAATGTCCACATACTTAATACCCTCAAGCGGGCCTCCAGGGCTCTAGGAAGTCAGATAACGATTGAGAGTCTGAGAAGCGATAGCAGGATTTGAAATTTCAGCTGAGCGCGATCCACTTCAGGTGACCGAGTGCCTCGTCATGTTTCGTCGGAAGGCCTCATGGGGCGCCGGGTGGGTGTACGCTACATTCACGTGGAATGTCTAGCGAAAAGAAGATCGTGACTCGCATATCCTTCAGCGGAGAAGAGCAATGAGCGGAGCACAAGAGAAACCTTGCACGTATTCCATCTTCGCTCGGGCCCCTAGGATGACATATTGAGACTGACGCGAGATTCCTGAACGCGTGTTCGAAATCTCGATTCTGACAGGTAGCTCCTCCCTCGATCTTCTCTCCTCAGTTCTACCACAGAATACGTTCGCCGACGTGGACGGATTCCTGATAGCTCTCGAATCATTTGCCTGGGATGTCACGCTTCAGACTCTAGAGGCATCGAGCGCTTCTCGATACGATGATTGAGGAGGGAAAATCGAGACTACGAAGCTGCTGGCCATATGTGTTTTTTGAACTCACTTTTCGGGGGCTTCTTCTCTAGATCTCTCGGTTTCGGCTTTTCATGACCGTCCCATCGCTTCATAGTTATCACTAACGAGCCAGAATCTCTGGACTTCTGGAACATCCGCGTCAACTCCGTTAGAAATGCTTCGCTTTCTAATAGCATCGTGTCGCTCTGTGTGTTTGTTCAATAGGAACGGGTCTAGCAACAGCGGAGACGACAACACATCACACCGAAGCAGACCGTCTGCTACGATCAGCAGACGCTCCGGTTCCTGCTGTTGTTACGCACGGTTTTGAATCCAGAGTGACTCAACTTTCGACAATAGTTTTAAGAACATCTCTGAATTCGCCAATGGTGTTATTCTCCGCGCTCTCTGGACACACGAACCCGAGGTGAGTACTCACATTCACATTGATGTCGATCGTCCTCCTCGCACGTGTCAATACGGGAAAGCAATGTGAAGGGACTCGGCGGATCTCATGTCAGGCGACCCGCATCCTGATTTCGATCCCGATTACCTTAAGTTTCTTTTTCCAGAATGAGCGAGCTTTCAAGCGGCTTACACGACTGTTTAGAATTCGGGGGGAAACGGACACAAGGTCTGGACGCTCTCCGACGTACGGACGACGTATCTTGCGGAATTCACGGGTCCAGATGGACCTCCCAAGAATACTATTTTTTTTTGTAGGGTCGCCACTCAGCGATTACCTATGTCGAGTTGAAGTCGGTGTCTCAAGGCGGGATATATTTCGTTCAAATACAGCCTGATGGAACTGTCTTCTTAGACGTCATCAAGAACATCTTCTCCCCTCGGCGAGATGGATCATCCTACTCAAAGGTCTATGTCTCCATGGCGAGGGACCGGCAGAATCCCATGTGCTCTACCGAGGAGCTTCTCCAAGTTAAGCTTCCGAGATAGCGGTTTGCGGCGTGAGGACACCTCCCAGCTTGATGGTAAGGAGACCTCGATGCCTATCGGGACAATGGTCAGTTTCTTCCTCATCGATGGTTCCTGCTCTACACAAAAAGGCCCTCCTCGTGAAAATGCTGCCAACTACCTCCCGGTCTCCCAACACGTTATCGCATGTCTCGTCTTTGGAAAGATCCAAACGTTCCACATATTGGTTTTCCTTAGAATACATGGACCCCTGGACCCAAATCACCACGGTTCTTCCCGAAGAAATCGACCTGTACTTAACTCCTTATCACGCTGTATATTCTGAGCAAAAAACTGCGTTTGACAGAGTCAGATCCTCATTATATGTGCTGTATGTACTAGACCTGGGCTATTACCTCCATAAGAACCTAAACTAGTACTGGTTATTCGCTGACGACTTGAAAGTCTAATGGACCGACCATCAAGCCGACCGATCGGGAGGTAATCCTTTCAGGCATAGACGGCGTGGAAAGATGGTGCGAAGGAAATCAGATGATCCTGTCCGCAAGGAAATGTGGGGTGCTTTCGAAAGTAGATCAGATCTCCCAAGCTCGTTGTTATTCGATCGAGGGTCAAGTGCTCCCTGTCGTCGAGTCTGTCTGCGATTTGTGTATTGTTGGTTCTGCCGACCTCGACTTCGAAGAGCACATTCTAAATACTGCCCACTGGGCTAGAACTCAAGTAAACTCGATTTTTCGATGTTCTTCGGTCAAGGGCACGGATTTCCATCTCAGACTACATCAGGCGCTTATCCTCTCGAAGTTTCTCTATTTCTCCCAAGCGGGGCTCCCGTTTTGGGTCAAGCTTGAAACCAGCATTGAATTCGATCAGATTTCCCCTCAGCCGACTGCATAGGAGATTCTCAACGCCCGACGGCCCTGTATCTTCACAACCTCCCATGACGATTTTGTCCGGACGTTCGAACCCTCAGAAGGATTATTGTGTATATAGGTGATTCCGTCTACTATTTCATTGTGGAGCCAATCCCTCCGCATATCCCGCATATCCATATTATTCACTCTCAACCACCCTTCTTGAATAAAGAGTGTTTGCATTGAATTTGATTGAATTGAGACGTCAAGAGAGCTGAACAGGACCCTCGAGGCGAGTCGGCCGTCCACATTGCATGAAAACGACAAAGGGACACAGAGAGCTCAGCTCAAGTCCCCTCCATCGAATTCCTTCGCCGAGGCTCGGTTCCGGGGTAGGAGATTCTCAAAATTGCGGAGAGAGACCCAGTCTGATGAGATGGAGGGCACCTAGTATACCGTGCGTCTAGGGCCGTCCCGCTGCAGTTCTTCAGCTCTCATCCCGTCGTCAGCTATGTCTTTGACGAATACATGAGGCCAAATCAATGTAGTCTTCCCCCTTATCGTCCATCATTTCAACAAGATCCCGCAGGCTCATCCTAGAGCCATGCGTTCCCGGAGAATTGCATGTCGATCATCTTCCGTGGCACATATGAGATGAGTGTAGCTCTGAGTGCGATGATCGCCAAGGCATAGATCATCGAAACCATTGTCATAGGCTGCGGAGCGAGTGTCCGCGATTCTGTCACGCTCGAGCCGTCCACATCTTCTGCGAGTTCCCCAATCCTGTTGCATCCGTACAGGGAAGCGCCGTCGGTGTGAGGAGTCCGATCTCTATCCTAGAAGCTCTACACCACCCATGAGCGCGAAGTGCCGAAGAAAAGAGCGGTAGAATTAAATCCTGAGCGGTCCGGGTGAGGGCATCGTATTTTTGAGCTCGACGGAGAGCGCGAGAATGAGGAGAGATCCCTGTGCTTGTAGTAAACAAAGAGATCCCGCCAGAAGCCGCTGGTAGATTTTCTAAGTTTTCTTTCCGACCTGTGCGACGCGTGTATGTAATTCCCGTCAAACATGAATCGAATTATCCTCCAACTTCCGTAGGTTGGGCGTACGCCGGACGAGAGCGATCGTGGGCTTCGTGCGATTGAATGAGAACGTTGTTAAATATTGTGTATATTGTTGTTGAGGATAAGTGAGCTCACATGCGAAAATGGAAGTGACGCAAGTGTTCCGCCCCGTGAGTATGCGGGAGTGGTTCATGATTGACCCTGTCTTGAATCGAGTGAAGAATAATTCCTCCGTCAACGGTGTCAAAGCGGAAGTGGCAGAAGCTGTGAGCACAGCGGAAGGCCATGTGATTTGGAGAATATCCGGCATCGCTCAAAGAGCCGAAGTCGCCGTCGAACTGGAAGATGGTCGGAAGCAGAGTCAATCGCAAGTGCACATCGGCACCTTGAGGGTAATTCCTAGTTACGACTTCGCTGCTATGAATTCTATGTTTACGATTCATTCGCGCAGATTCGTTGCTCTTGCCGGGTCCTTGACCACCCCATCTTGAATTGGGAGTGAGTCTGAATTGACTTCTGCTGCTTTCCTCAGGTGGATCCCCTGAAACTCCTCTGTGTCCCAAAGAGAATCATCACGCGATCCCTCGTGGAAGTTGCCCCGATGAGTCTGGTCGTCCTCGAGAAGATCGATGACAGTTTAGAGGGACTTGTGTCCGCCGAAGGAACCGTCACCGACCTTTCCAAATTCGGTTTCGGAAAATCAGAACCTCCGACACCGAAGAAAGTGGTCGTGAAGCAAGAACCCATGGAAAATGATGCAGCGGAACCCGAATCTCCTGAGGACCTCGTCGAGTGGAACGATGAAGAGGACACGATAGCACCTATAAATATTGTAATTAAGCAAGAGAACTCGCCGATCGGGGATACCCGCCCCCCTCCTCATCCCCCCGTTCGCAGAGACAGCAGAACAATTAAGCGAAAACTGGACGACGTGATAGCGCAGGCAGAGAAGCGGAAAAAGAGCGATACTGATTTAGAACATCGGGCCCTCGTCGATATCGAATGCAAAGAGCTCCACGGCACAGCCAGCGTATACGAGGATAGTAAGTGCGCCTGATCCAAAGTGTCATTCTAATTTCTTTCTCGATCGATTCGAAGCATAATTTAAAAGCAGATCCATTATCAGTCCTGTAGAGGCTACATGACCGCTTTACTCTCGGAAGTCGCTCTCAGCCTAGGCTCGACCCGCGTTTTGTGCGATTATTCCTGCCCAGGGAGGATAGAGCATTGATGCAGCGTGATTCCGCGAGAATAAAGCTACAACGAAATATGATTCCGCGCATTGGATAAATTCTTTGGGAACGGAAATCAGGGAAATCGAGAAGGGAGAGCTTCGCACATGTGCACTCGCGGCTGAATCTTCGGAATGTACGCCCCGAATTAACATTTTTGTCTGGAATTCGCAGACGGTGATGTCTACAATATAATGCTTAACCAGACGAACGTGGAGTTCAACAACAATAAATTCTTCCTTCTCCAGTTGCTTAAGACTGACAGTCGCAACCAGTACTACGTTTGGTTCAGGTTGGCCTCAGTTCATCCGTTCTTCCTTCGTCCACTCGCCGACTGGCACGCATGACTCACCCAGGAATTCTCGCAAGGGAAAATTCCCCCTAGCGACTTAAATTCATTGGAACGTTTTCGGCTTCCTTCAGATGGGGACGAGTGGGGAAGAAAGGAAGGAGCGCACTCTGGCCCTGCGGGGATGATCTCGATAAAGCAAAAGAGATTTTTGAGAAGAAATTCTTGGACAAGACGAGTAACGAGTTTTCCGAAAGACATCTCTTCGACAAAGTGAAGGGAAAATACGACATGGTCCAAATAGCGGCCCATCAACCCGACGCCGAGGTGAGACTGTCTCAACGATTTCGTGGCGCAGCCAAGTCGGGTCGATTCAGTGTGTTTTCCGGGTATTCATCTTGTTCGATCTCCTGTGTTCCCAGGTGCTCAAAGAGGACATAGGTAAACTCGCCAATCTGAACAAGGATCGTCACAAACCGTGCACACTCCCGAGAAAGTTGAAGGAGTTCATCGAGCTCATCTGCAGCATCAAGAGAATGGAGAAAGTCTTGGAGCAGCTCAACTTCGACGCCAAACGATCCCCGCTCGGTCAGCTGACCCGAGCTCAAATCGTGACCGGTTTCGACGCGCTCAAACGGATCGAAGATCTGATAAGCAATAATATTAGGGGGTCCAGGTGAGCGTGGATGCCTGATTCCCAATGCAGGATTCTCATCGGTCTACTCGGAGTGGGTTTTTCAAGGCGGACCCTCTTCAGGATCGTAATCGGCTTTTATCTTAGATTGACGCAGGCGTGCAACGATTTCTACACGAGGATCCCACACGACTTCGGCATGCGAGTACCCCCGATCCTGAGAACCCGAGAAGAGATCCGTGAGAAAGTTGAGCTTTTGGAAACGTTGACCGATGTGAAAATCGCTGTCGAGCTGCTGAAAAGCGAGACACCGGAAACATCGTTGCATCCCATCGACAGACACTATATCTCGCTCAAAGTCAAGTTAGAGCACGTCAGTCCGAAAGAGATGCAATTGATTGAACACTATCTGGAGAAAACTCACGCACCGACCCACAATCAATACAAGATGACCATCGAGGCAGCTTTCCGCATTGAGAGAACCGAGGAGAGGAAGGCGTGAGCGTTTTACGAAGTATTCCTTTCCCATGATATTCCCATTCAGCCGTCCCGCTATCCCGGAAGTCCATTTTCATCTAAAGTGGATGAACATCCGAGAGGACACGAGACTCGACACGGAATTGAACCGACTCCGTTTTCTTCAGATTCCGGAAAGATCTCCCGAACCGGATGCTGCTGTGGCACGGCTCCAGACTGCCTAATTGGGCGAGTATCTTATCGCAGGGCTTGAGAATCGCTCCGGAGGAAGCTCCGTCGACAGGGTACATGTTCGGGAAGGGCGTTTACTTCGCGGACTCCTCATCGAAGTCGGCGAACTACTGTTTCCCTTCGGTTACGCAAAACGAGGGCGTTCTGCTGTTGAGTGAAGTCGCGCTCGGCAGAATGAACGAGCTCTTCGAAGCTGATTATGAAGCGAGCCAGCTCCCGAGAGGTTAGTTGGGAGCCCCATGATAGGTACACTCACGCACACATACGCTCAATTGAATGCGGTTCCCCGTATGGAGGTTGCATATGGATGAATTCGCGATTCCAGGTCGACACAGCGTGCGAGGTATCGGGAGAATGACGCCGAAAGCCGACGAAAGCGTCACGGTGCCAAGCCCGCACGACATGAAGAAGCTACTCATCCCATGCGGGGAGTTGGTGAAACACGAAGATGAGGAAGTGATTAGGAAATGTACATTGAGTTACAATGAGTTCATAGTCTATAACGTCAACCAGATCCTGATGCGGTACGCTTTACGTGTGAAATTCAAGTTCCAGTGAGAGGCTTCATGAGAGGTAGGTATAGCGTATTTCACTCGGCCACGTCGGAATCTCTGATTACCCTAAGCCGCTCGTTTAGAGAGAAGACTTGAATCACGATCGGCCGCTGTTGCCGGCCAGACATGAACTTTTTGTGCGATACCTCGACTGGCGATCACGCTTCAGCGAGCCGTGCGGATATCAGGATAGACTATATTATGATCTGCCTCCCGGCTAGAGTTCCCCGCGCCGTCAAAATCGGTGCCATCACTCGCCGTCGATCCCGTGAAAGACTCAGTATCAAATGATGACATCGATATCTCATCCTCGCTATGGAGCCTATGGTGCTCATCATCGAGATATTCATCGGCGCCCTCGGTGTCCCTCGCAGCGTCTCGATTTCCGCATCGACGGGCTTTCTCGAAGTTCCATCGTCGTCCACCACAGTTCGCGTGAAAATGCATGAAGGTCGTGAGCTCGACGAGGATGCAGGATTGATGAACAAGTTTTCATTATGCATCCCTCTCCTGAAGCGACCTTTGACGAGCCACTGCCGATGATAGCTGATTCATTGTGACTAAGAAATTGAATTGGTACTGGATCGAATAAAAATATATTTTTGTTAGCATCCCTTCTTCCTCGTTGATGTGTGGTGGATACGAGTGCAGGCGATAGGCAATTTATCCCGCTCACTCGAACGGTCCTGTTTGTGCTGGAATCGCGTGCACTGAGGAAGGAAATACGCTAGTCGGCCGCTTCCAAGTATTGTGAGCGTCCCAGGCAAAGTCCCAGGCATCGAGTCATGCTGGTGCACTATGGGCCTCAGCCTCACGTGCACCATCGTCACCTTGAAGAGGCGGAACAAGCCTACGCTAGAGTTTCTCGAAAAGCGATACTGGCAACCACGTGTTCCCATAGACGTAAGCCTTGAACTCAGGAAGCTCACTACACCTTATAGAGAAAGATCCACCCATACTTTCAAGCGCGTTACGCATTTTACAACGGCCGAGCGTCTTCCCCGATAAGATTTCCTCAATTGTCTCTTACCGCCTCCGACAACAGGAGAGTCACCGCCGCGAAGGCTTTAAAACCTCTGGGCAATCGGAAACTTTCTCCTTCCGACTAGAAGAAGAACCGAGTTGATTGACTTGATCTTCCGGGAGGGATCGGTGCGTATCAGTTAGTCGCGAAATTCTACGAACTTCTGCATCTGGTTGCACACGATGGAGGTGAAGACGATTCAGCCACCCGAGGAGAGGTACTGGACTGTGCCGAGAATCTCGACTGCGTTCGTTGTGTCCTTCGGGAAGATGATACAGCTCTTATGCTGCCTAGGTCTCGCTCCATTCTATCCGGAAGAGGTCAGTTGATTTCGCCTTTATGCTGTTGCTTTCCCAGAGCTCCGCCTCTGGTGGATTGCCAGTCGAATTCTCACGGACGGCAATATTCGCGCTCATTGATCTCTCCTCCGTAGGCTATGGATCGAGGGAACAGTTCGATACAGATAGGTGTAGTTTTCGGAATCTACCCTTTGGTTGGGTTCATCTGCAGCCCGCTCATAGGGAAAGTGGTGAGTAGAGCACTCGCCTTGGCTTCGGATTACATGCGAGAGGGTTTGGAAAGCGCTTTTCTAGTAAGCGCTCCGACTTTTATCCAAAGCTAGCCAAAGGCTATGCGCCGAAGAAGATTCTCTGTGCCGGACTTGTTACGGATTGCTTCTTCATGGTACTATTCAGGTCGGTAGGGCGAGTCACTCATACGGAACATATGCATTGGCGTCATCCCATAATGAGTTACGGGAGAACGGATTCGATCGACCGAGATATCGACGGGGACCGTGAGTTTCCTGTGTTGTTTTTTTCAGCATGCTCTACAAAATCGAAGACTCAACGCTGTTTTTCTTAGGCAGTGTTCTCTGCCGTGGGCTCCAGTCGATCGGGGTTACGATGTCTAGCGTGACGTACTATGGCGTCGCGGCGGCGAACTTCCCTGATAAGATGACACTCTTTATTGTTCGTATCTATCTGGGAAATGGAACATGAATTTTATATGGACATTGCGCATCAGGGGGATTTCCGACTCGATTAACGCACCTTGATCCTGCAGCCCATCATCGAGACGATGTCTGGTCTCGGAGTCATGGTGGGGCCGACCATCGGAGGTATTTTGCATCAGGTACTGCAATCAACGTTCCCCTCTGGCACGCTGAGGAACCCAATTGGCTCGACTCGATAAACGGGTGGTGATCTCTGATTTTTTTCCCCAGTTGGGAGGCTTTCCCGCACCTTTTCTCACTTTTGCGGGCATGACGTTCGCTTTTCTGATCGTCACTTTGTGTCTGCTTCCTCCCGTCAGAGGTGAGTCGTTCCGGCATACTGAATCCTGTCGAAGACTGAACTCTCATACAGGATGAGAGATTCGTATATTCAGGCTGATTCTTCTCTTCTCTTCCCCTTTGCAGTGACTACGGAACCCACAGTCGAAGGAGGGGCTGTGCTGTCGTTGAAGGCCATCATCGCGGATAGTCGAATGCTGGTCGACGTATCGATGGTTTTCGCCGGCTTCATCGCAATCTCGTTCAACGACGCAACCCTGGCGGTATTGCTGGATCGGTTCGGTCTCAATTCTGCCTACAAGGGAGCGGCTTTCCTGATCTCTGCTCTGTGTTACTCAGCCGGCGCATTAATCTACGGTCGGATAGGAAAGAAAATGGTGAGATTCGAGTCCGACGCATTGCCGTTCGAATCGAGCCTGGCATAGTCTTCCTCCAACAAGTCCGGGCGAGATCACGGACGAATGGCTAGTCCTCGGGTAGGCTTACTCGAATGTACCGTATTCCAGAGAGATGTCCGAGTGATAGCGATTTTCGGCGGTCTTTGCCTGATCGTCGCTTGGACGTTCATGTCACCTGTACCGATTTTCGAATTCTCTTCGTAAGTTATCGCATCGGTAGTCGTCCGTCGTGGTCTTCTATCCCGCTCTAAGCACGCAACCGCTCTCATGATTCCGCAGATCGCTGACGCTCGTCCTCATTTGTCAAGCTCTACTCGGAACGGGGGCTGGCGCCTTCTACATTTGTTGCTATAGCCATGGACATTATCATCTCACGTGAGTGACGATTGAGGAGAGACTCATCTAAGACGAGAATCGGAGGGGCCCTTGCCTGGTTAGGAACCTGACATTTTCTCCACAGTCAAATGAATGGATTACCCGATGATTATCGAACCTACTCGATGTTGGCCGGGATTGTACAGTCATCGTTTTTCCTCGGGTGAGCATGCCTGTCGGAATACGGCAGATCAGATCTGGGCGTAGTCGACTTGTATATTCGGGACTCAAAGATCGAAGGAATTTGAGAGCGCATGAAGCTTACCCCTCTCTTCCGGACGCAGATCCCTAAGCGGAGCTACGGGCGGAGGCGTCCTCCTGGAGTACTTCGGCTACGGTTGGACAACGTTGATGATCGTCATCACCATCTTCGTCCTAGTGAGTCAGAAGGGACACGAGTTACGATTTTGTCCTAAGGGAACCGGCGTAGATCTGCGTTCGATGCTCTTGCCGGGAAATTCCCTCCGACGCTCAGAACTTTCGTAAATCCATTTCAGACAGCATCGGTTTCGATCAGCGTGATTTGCGACAAGATTCGCCCACCGAAACCCAAAGTTGAGCAGGTTGAGCTCGATAAGGTTGAGTCAGAAAGCCACGGATACATTGTTAATCGTTTGTGAATACTGGGACTATACTGTTACGATCCTGCCAACCTTACTTCTCCTGTTTTGTATGGGATGAGCTCCATCCGAACTGTAACCGACCACTGATGCCAGGACTGAATCGTCTGGACCCAAGACGCCCGAGTTGAGGTTGTACAAATTTCTCCCGGAACGACTGGATAATGGAGAGCGCTTATGTAGGAATTCCTTCGTAAACTTCTCCGCTCGATTGGAAACCCCCACCAACATTCGGAGAACCTCATGGAGTCACAGGATAATAGTCTATGCTCGGAATTCGATATCATAGATTTCGGTGGAATGGTAGTCCGAAACCGACGTTCAAGGACACCAGACCCACAAAAGTCATTTCCCCCATCGTTGTCGACTTTGGTTTCCCGCTGATCATATAGGGGATCCCTGCAATCCCGACCCTTTGACGAGCATACCGATCTGCAGGCATTCAACTGCCTCGATTCGAAGTTGATTTTCTCGATTCGATTTTCCTTCGACTGAGGAAACGATAGGACATGATCGGTCGCCGTGGACCTAATGAAGAATTCCGAGAGAGCATGGAGTACAATGATTCAGTGATGCAATAGGAGCGGTGCCTGAGCGCCGGAAGGCTTTTTGCAGATGCCGCAATACAGAAGCCGCTCCTAGACCATCGAGCGGCTAACATATCGTGACGCGATGAGCGAGGGATGGATCCACTGATCAACTTGCGGAGTCATTACATCTCTCTTTATTTAAAAAGCGGTCCGCGCCCATCAGTCTAACAAAACACATTTTTCGAGGCTCAAATACTTTTCTCCCAACTCTTGATTGACTCTTGGAAACTTTTCCACGATCTGTTATCTCCTGAGGCGGTGTGTTGCTGTCGGTCTTCCTAGGTATTTAAAACTCGACGCTGCGTGATGCAAATGCGTGTCTGCGTCTATGTGTTTCATTCTTCAATCCTTGCGAATGGTTGGGAAGAACTCGGAACTCTAAAATATTTACAAGATTGAAATCTCTCATAGTCCTCTCGAGCTCTCGACCCTTAGGATTTATATCGAAGCATATAAGATTTGTACTCTCACTAGAAGGGGCTTCGGCAGTTAGCTGTTAAGTTTTTCAAGTCCGTGTGATGTATGATGCCGAAGTCTTTCGCATGTCCAAATCGCATATGTCTGTGATTCGAACAATCGCAACGAAGCACGATGGAGGCGTGCAGGAAGAGCACGGTTATCGCTCGGGGATCCGAGAGGGAGAGAGAGTTCTCGCTCGAGCCAGCTGACCATAAGCTCAGCGCCGGTACTCTCCTCGGCCGCCTGAGGCAGTGATCTACCGTAAGTCACGCTCGACAGATTTATTCCAACGCTTCACTATAGTAACAATAAATACACGTAACTATCATGTATTTACACAAGGCGAGCCTCGTGACGCAAGAGCTGATTCGCACCGTCCGAGCATTCCCTTTCGATCCTGAGGTCTTGGAATTGCTCTCCGAACGCTAGAAATCATCTCTCGTATTTTGTAAATCCTATCTTACAGATCGTCCCATCTCCACTGGAAAGGGCGAGCGGACACACGCAAGCTCAACGGCTAATTCCTGAGCTCGATTTCGCCAGTTTGGTGAGCAACACAGCCCGAAATCATGATGATCTGTCGATGGAACAGTCATCAGCGTATCTCGCCGAAAGGTTGCCCGTAGCGATTTGAGGAGCGCTGTCCCAAATCGGAAGCTTCTACGAACAAAAGCGTTTTTTCGAAGAGCTCCGGGAACTCTCCGCTTTGGAAGTCGGAAATCACGCCACTGTATACGGCGATCGGTTTCGATGGCGATGACGACGACGACGATGGTGTTCTCGGAAACGTTACGTTAATGAACATGAAAATTTCGATGGCGATGAAGGTGAATACAAGGATGACCGTGAGCTTCCACGTATTACGATCGCGTCAGTCGCAGAAGGTGCGTGTCACCTCGGTGACGCATGTCTGACACTCGACTCTACAGCACCAGATGAGCCGGCACTTGCACGATGTACTCTGCGTCGTGTTCTCCGTTCGGATCTTGAGACCACAGTCGTGGCATAGCCGCTTACAACTCTCGGCTTCGCTTCGGGTCACGCCCACACGGGGTCGCAGTGAGCATTCACGGCCCAGCGTGCCAACGGTACCCGCTGTGAGATTGGCGTTGCAGTAGTTGATCGAATCGTACGAGTAGATGAGTTCGCGTTTTTTGCAAGCAAGATCCTTCCGTTCCGGATTGAGGGATCCTCCGTTATAGTCGAGCCTCTTTGCGTTCTCGAAAGCCCTTCGGAGTCTTTTGCCAATCGTCTGCATGTCGGAGAGCCGCATCCAACACGTCGTCACGGCGCAAGAACAAGAAACGCCGTGACATTTGCACATCTTTCGCATTGTTTTCTTGACCGCCTGCAAACGGAAGGGATTTTAGAGTCCTGTCGATAGATCGAATCGATGTGATCTCCGTGACCGTAGATAAATGTGTCAGGAACCTTCCCCGCCGCCCCCGATGACCTGAGAGAATCGACCACTCACCCGACGACCGACTCTGTTGTTGTGCAGATTAACTAGTCCTGTGTCGGTTCGCGGTTCATTGCTGTCCAAGAACTCCTTGGCGGTGTGCTCTCCGAATTTGACGCTGTCCGAACAGCCTCCCCATGTGCATTGTTTATCTATTAAGAAAGCTTTAGAATTTATTACTATTTCAGCCATTTTCTCAGACGGTACGCGCTCTACCTAATGGCGCCTGCAACGCGTGAGAATGTCGTCGCTCGGCAACATGACAGCGACTCGCGATAACAGCAACATGATAACCGACTTATGCTCATGTGGAAATCACACATCCGTACCGTCGAGCCCCGGTGCAGAAGCGGGTCGGCTGCTTTTTGAGCGCCTCCTCCGAATGCGGTCGAGTCGGTCAGCGAAGCTGTGCAAGATTATGCCGGGCGATAGATAGCTATCTGTGGAGCAACAGTCACACAGGATTCCCCATGAGACCACGATTGAGCGCGGATTTCTTCAGGGAGACATCGGCACGGAGCCGTGCGCCATTCGACTCGATCGAGGAGCAACACCGACGGCTCGAGTGGCAGCCGAGGCGGTCGTGGAGCCGTGTGCGTAATGTGGACGAGCCTCAGGGAGAAACTCGCGTCAACCAATCGAACGCTAAATTCCTCGGGATTCCATGGAATCATGGAAGAGGACGTTCTCTCCGCTCCCACCGAGAAGGCATTGAAGACGCTGAAAGCAGGCGACCCTACAAAAAGAAGAATACTCAAAGGCTCAGCCAGCATTTTTGACCCACTCGGGATAATAGCTCCGCTGGTTATGAATTCGAAGATTCTTCTGCAGGCGCTATGGAAGTCGAAGCTCGGCTGGGATTCCGTCCTCAAAGACGGACACGCCGAGAGTTACCACTCCTTTATAGGTTTAATAAGCGAAGCAGATAATCTCACCGTTCCGAGGCACCTATTCTCTCGTCCCGCAAAGGAAAGAGCATACCAACTCCACGTCCTCGCGTCCCTGAAGAGTTTTGTATGTGTCGTATACATCCGACAAGTCGAGCCCGGCAAAACACCCTCCTTTCGTTTGTAGCGGCGAAAGCGAGAGTAGCTCCAGTGAAACAGTCAACGATTCACAGACTTGAAATACTGGCAGCGCTCATCGGAGCTCGTGGAGCGCCGAGAATCCGGCGGATATTATTTCAAGAGCATACGACATCTCCGGGCCAGGGACAAGACATCTTTGGTTCTCGGAGCCGGAATGGCTGAAATACGACGATGCACATTAAGAGCAGAAAGTAGCACGGGAAAACACGACACTTGCACCGAAGAGCAACATTTCAGCAGCCGATCCCGAGCAGAGGCCGGTAGTGTCGACTTGCATGAGCGCGACACGCGACCACATCCACCGTCAGAACATCTCCTCCGAGAACACATTCTCGTCATGGAAAAAAGCGATTCGCTCCTGGGGTCTCCTATTGCGACTCAAATCGAAAGCTCATCTTGCTCGGCAACGCATTCTCAATAAAGAGAACATATCCCCGTCGACAAAGGAATTAAATGATCTCGTAGCTGCTGAGATGATCTCGGCAAGAATGAGTCTCGTCCAGCTGATTCAAAAAATGCATTTCGAGAGAGGAGGATGGGACGGAAGGCGCGAAAATGAAACATGAAGCGAAAAATGTCGAATATCAAGAAAACGCCGTACTCCAATTTCGGCGACCTCCCAGCACGGCCGGAATTCGAGAAAGCTAGCTAGGGATTTCCTTCCGAAATCCGGGGGAAGGAGTGTCACGAACGGGCTCCTCGGGAGCTCCGTTGCGGTGATCGCGTCACATGCATACAACAACAGCAGATGCACAAATACGCACAACACCCTCACAACAGAGCCAGGGATGGCACTGTTCCCGGTCGAACGACCTCGGCTCTTTTTCTCCCTACCTATAATGATTAAAAATTACTAGCCGGGCCCAGCGGCGCGTTGCTGCCGCATGGAATAGGTTGGGTGAGGTGAATGATGCGCATGATGATGAAAATATTGGTCTGATGATAGAGTGTAGATTTTTCGTCGTTCTTCCGTCTGTATGCGCGTCAAATCCACTGATTTTCCGTCGACCTTCCCGTCTCTGCAGGCGTCCCTTTGCCCGTTCCTTCCCAAGTCTCCCTCCCCGTCTCTTTTCCCGTCCCGTCCCCCATTCCTTTCGGCTTTCGCATGAGAGCATTGACATCATGATTCGATTGAAAATTTTTGATCTTTCCTTTCTTTCCTTTTTGATCATTCCTTTTCCAGTTGTTCCCCGTCCCTCGTCCAGTTTTCCCCCGTCCCTTTCGTCGTTCCTTCTCCCGTTTTGAACCTTGTGCCCATCGGTGTCCACCGTGCTCCGAGGATCGTGGAGTGTTCAATGAAGAGCGAAGTCGCATTTCCGCAGAATCACTTGCTTGTTGGGGCGCAGGCTTCGTTCTTCCTCCGGTTGGGGAACGAACATCGTTTCCGAAAACAGGATCTGAGTTAGATTGCCTCGCCTTATATACTCTTATCGGAGCCCCCTTTTTAAGGACGCCGCTAAAAAGAAGGTGGATGGAGGTATACAAATGACTACGAAATCACCGTCGAGTTGTCCCTTTGTGGTCTAAGGTCGAAACGGCGGAATATGAAACTTCCAAGTGGAAAAAATATGTGCATGGAGTGGGTGGGAAAATCATACAACCATCAAACAATTGATGACGTCCGTGTTCATTTTTGGTATGCCAAAGCGGTTTTTGGTATGCCTATGTCCGTCTCCTCGATGTGACTCTCAGACTGCGCAAGTTTCCAGACAATCGGTCCAGTGGTTTGGACGCGCATCGAGGAGAAACCAAGCCACAAACACTTTACTTTATATATTAGAAGAAGAAGATAGAAGATAGGAGATAGAAGATTTGAAGATAACCATGCCATTACGAGTGTAAATCATTTATTGGAGAAATATCATATCATATATCGCATAAATAATACTCCGCGCGCCGATCTGGAGATTCGCTCCCAGCGAACTGAGACCAAAGACCGAGGTGGAAAACCCATCCGCATCGGCAATCGATCATCACCATCGATAATCAGGATCGCCATCTTGATGAGCGACTATGAGTGTGAACTAATTAGTCAAGTAATGAGGCAACGTGTGCGCAAACGTTGACCCACTAAAAGCTCTAACCTGTCGATCTCCCTTTCATGGAGCGTCATGCAGTCATGCCGCTCGCCCCGACGCGTCGTTCCATGCCAAATGAATTCTAGAATCTCTAGATTCCAGAAGGATCATCGGATGATGCCGATTTGAACGCCTCAGCCTCGGTCGAACATCAGAGACTGCGCGTAAGTGACTTGAGCGCGAGGCGCGCTTGTTTCTGGTTTGGGTGGTTCGAAGAAGAGATCACGCCCCGATCACGACCCGCAGACTCGGGTCAGTCTAAGAGAAAATCATCTGACGGGCCGGAGGGGAAATCAAGAGGCCCGGGCCGTCCGAAGAAGCCGAGAAGTAAGTCTAGAACGCTCTGTGCTCTCGTAGACAATCCCGGATTCGAGATGTCAGTCGTGGCTTGTAGCCTGTAGCTCATGCTCTGCGCTTCAGCGGGGGTTTGGCTGGAACTCACAGCGGAAGATTCGGAAGGGGAGTTCCAAAACTGCAATATCTGCCATCAAACAATCACAGCTATGGAAGGCACGAAATCCAATCTGGAGAAGCATATGAGAAATCACGAGAAAGATGGAGAAAGATGCAACCGAGAGGAATTAAAGATCGCGATAACCTCGGGCTTGGTGTCACGGCGGAACTTGCCATGTAACCTCTTCAATTGTGAAGAGATTGAACTCCTGTTCCTATCGGCCAAACTCGGGCCAGTGAACGATAAGATAGCTCGGAAACGCACCGACGATGAGGCTGAGTAAGTCACGAAGAGCAGGTGGGGTTGACGGATCATAGGAATATTCCTCGAAAACATACCTATGAATCATTCATCACGGCCTCCATTGAGTCCCCACGGGGAATCGCAGCGAAATACCACGGAGTTCGCGGATAAATGGCGCTTCTGGATTTTCCCTCACCCCAACCATAATCTTCTAAGCTCTGCCTCATTATATTAAAAAATACGCATCCTGAAACACAATCATGACGGCAAGGAATGCCTAGTCAAGGCGACACAGACAGGCGGGACTACGGGAATGGGTTTTTTGGCATTCGGCTGATAAATTGGCGGAGGTTCTACTATTGAGCTGCTCCTGCGGCCGCCAGACACCCCCCACGCATCGTTTCCAACACTCAATCCATGCTCCTGCCCTACACGAAAACCTGAAAAAACCCTACTACAACTCAACTCACTCAACTTAGGCGAGAAGCCCCTTCTTTCCCTCCTAACGATTTGACATGTTGCAGCAAAGCCCGATCGATCGTCGCATTGGACCTCAGGGCGCTTCGCGAGAGGGGCGCTATCTTCACCTTGGGCGCGGATGAATGGACGTGACAAAACCGTAGATTTTTAGGTGGGTGTTGGTGTGTCCTTCTCATATATTGGTGCTGACGTCGATTCCTGGAGATGAGGAGACGTCCTAAGAAAAAGTTCCTGGTCAGATGACCCCACTTCCGTTTGAATACCTCATCGTTGGAGTTCAGCACGTATTAGACGTCCTCGCAGAGCCTTCTCTTCTGTCCAGGGTTCTTCGAACCCAAGAGCTACCCCTAATCACATGTAGCGGTTCACCAAGTCGGGATTTCCTCAATCCCTTCCAATCCTCAATCATAAGAGCCCTCCTCGTTGCTTACAGGAATAACGCTGCACTGCTCTGAAATTTCGAGAGCATGCGACCGCGGAGAATCTTGACGAACTCTTGCTCGGTGCTTTGAACAAGCTCGGACTCGCGATAGAGGACGTGAAAGGAATGGTCGACGGGGCGGCAGTCATGAAGAAGTTGGCGACCATTCTGGCGAAACGCGTCGCCCCCGCCCCCTTCTATCATCAGCTGTGCCTCGCGCACGGGCTGCATCTTGCGCAACTTCGTCAAACTGGAGCATGCTCTGCGAAGGTTCTACAGTAGGCGCGACTGCACGTTCCCTCTCACGCCGTCTGAGATGCTCGAGCTTGAGGAAATCACGAAGGCCCTGAATCACGTGGAAGAAGCCGTCTTGCGACTGTCGCGCAAGGATACAACCATACGGAAAGCGGATCTAGCTCTGGAGGTAACATTCCGTCCTTACTAGTATTCGGATTTCACGTTCACTCAGTTTTTCTCCCATTAATCATATATCCTTCCCGAGAGCAAGTCGGAAAACGAATATTCATTCTGCAGGCGATGCTCGGCAAAGTCAGAACTGAGACGTCGGACTTCGCGAGGGCACTTCATCGGGCTCTCTGCGTGAGAATATTTCAGAGACGAGGAGTCACCTGGAGGCTGGCGCGATTTACTCACAGGAGAGAAGAGGACGCCGATCTCGACAGATGGCTGAATCGAGCAAGAGAGGAGATCATCGAGCGAAACGATGAACGTCTCCTTCGGACGCTGCTCGATCCTAGAAGCATAAAGCAAGAAATAGCGAAGTTCAGACGCTCAAAGGGGGAGCCGGCCCTTCGCTCGAGCGGGGTTACAAGGGTAGGGAAAGAAAGACCCCTAGACGTCTATGAGACGTTTGCTGATAGTGACCGAGAGGAACAGAGCCGAGAACGTCGACCACCAAATGCGGAGGAAGTCATCGAGTACCATAAGAGAGTCATCCCTGCCCAGTCCTCCTGGTGCAAACCTTACGAACCCTCCAAGCGACGAGCGTTCAAGCAGAACGCTCGTTTAGCAAGGCGAGACACGCGCGCAGATATTGTCAAGAAAGGCAAGATTCACGACCTATCTTTTCCTGAAAGATTACCTGTCGAAAAGGAACCCCTGTAAAGAGCTCCTCGAATCGGCGAAGAAGCAAAAACAATGATGCCAGCAGGAATTCAGTCCCGGACAGACATCAGACACTGACATCAGAGACTGAATCAGTCTCTGATGTACAAAAAAAAAAAATCAAAAATGAAAAAAAAAAAAAACGTCATGTGTGGTTGTGAAGATACAGGGCCGTCGGGCATTGAGAATCTCCTATGCAGTCGGCTAGGGGGAAATCTGATCTAATTCAATGCTGTTTTCAAGCTTGACCCAAAACGGGAGCCCCGCTTGGGAGAAATAAAGAAACTTTGAAACGATAAGCGCCTGATATACACTACCCGCGGGAAATTCCAACCCACCTTTGAATTTAATCGGAATTCGTAAAAAATTACGACTCGGGGGCTTTGGCAAACCGTAATGAAAGCCCGAGTGAATTGCGGAAGATCTGAATCGTAAACTTCGTCCTCATCATCGTCCTTGTGAACGTTCTGTGATTCCGACTAATATGAATCATAATCAGACATCAGACATACATGGGGTCTACGCCACAAGCGGCTTGTGGCGTAGACCCCATGATTCCGCAGATCGCTGACGCCCGTCCTCATTTGTCAAGCACTACTCGGGACGGGGGCTGGCGCCTTCTACATTTGTTGCCATAGCCATGGACATTATCATCTCACGTGAGTGACAATTGAGGAAAGACTTACCTATGTAGGACGAGAATCGGAGAGGCCCTTGCCACCTTAGGAACCTGATATTTACTCCAAAGACAAATGAATGGATTACCCGATGATTATCGAACCTACTCAATGTTGGCCGGGATTGTACAGTCCTCGTTTTTCCTCGGGTAAGCAGTAAGCACGCCTGTCGGAATACGGCAGATCAGATCTGAGCGTAGTCGACTCGTATATTCGGGAATCAAAGGAATAGTCTATGCTCGAGATTCGATATCATGGATTTCGGTGGGATGGTAGTCCGACACCGACGTTCGAAGACACCAGGCCCACTGATCAACTTGCGGTGTCATTACATCTCTTTTTATTTAGAAAGCTATCCACGCCCATCAGTCTAACAAAACACATTTTTCGAGGCTCATATACTATCCTCCCAACTCTTGATTGACTCTTGGAAACTTTTGAGATCGAGAAATTTTCAGAACAAGCACAATAATTCACAAAAGTCCTGGCTAGCAATTCACGATCTGTTATCTCCTGAGGCGGTGTGTTGCTGTCGGTCTACCTAGGTATTTAAAACTCGTCGCTGCGTGATGCAAATGTGTGTCTGCGTCTATGTATTTCATTCTTCAATCTTTGCGAATGGTTTGGAAGAATTCGGAACTCTAAAATATTTACAAGATTGAAATCTCTCATAGTCCTCTCGAGCTCTCGACCCTTAGGATTTATATCTAAGCATATAAGATTTGTACTCTCACTAGAAGGGGCTTCGGCAGTTAGCTGTTAAGTTTTTCAAGTCCGTGTGATGTATGATGCCGAAGTCTTTCGCATGTACAAATCGCATATGTCTGTGATTCGATCAATCGCAACGAAGCACGATGGAGGCGTGCAGGAAGAGCACGGTCATCGCTCAGGGATCCGAGAGGGAGTTCTCGCTCGAGGCAGCTGACCATGAGCTCAGCAGCGGTACTCTCCTCGGCCGCCGAAGACAGTGATCTACCGTAAGTCACGCTCGACAGATTTATTCCAACGCTTCACTATAGTAACAATAAATACACGTAACTATCATGTATTTACACAAGGCGAGCCTCGTGACGCAAGAGCTGATTCGCACCGTCCGAGCATTCTTTTTCGATCCTGAGGTCTTGGAATTGCTCTCCGAACGCTAGAAACTATCTCTCGTATTTTGTAAATCCTATCTTACAGATCGTCCCATCTCCACTGGAGTGGCGAGCGGACACACGCGAGCTCAACGACTGATTCCCGAGCTCGATTTCGCCAGTTTCGTGAACAACACAGCCCGAAATCATGATGATCTGTCGATGGAACAGTCATCAGCGTATCTCGCCGAAAGGTTGCCCGTAGCGATTTGAGGAGCGCTGTCCCAAATCGGAAGCTTCTTCGAACACCCGGCGTTTTTTTTCGGCGAGCTCCGGGAACTCTCCGCTTCCGAAGTCGGAAATGACGCCCGGGGCGCTCGCCCCTCCCCTAGTTTCGCCGCTGGATACGGCGATCGGTTTCGATGGCGATGACGACGACGACGATGGTGTTCTCGGAAACGTTACGTTAATGAACATGAAAATTTCGATGGCGATGAAGGTGAATACAAGGATGACCGTGAGCTTTCACGTATCACGATCGCGTCAGTCGCAGAAGGTGCGTGTCACCTCGGTGACGCATGTCTGACACTCGACTCTACAGCACCAGATGAACCGACACTTGCACGATGTACTCTGCGTCGTGTTCTCCGTTCGGATCTTGAGACCACAGTCGTGGCATAGCCGCTTACAACTCTCGGCTTCGCTTCGGGTCACGCCCACACCGGATCGCAGTGAGCATTCACGGCCCAGCGTGCCAACGGTACCCGCTGTGAGATTGGCGTTGCAGTAGTTGATCGAATCGTACGAGTAGATGAGTTCGTGTTTTCTGAAAGGAAGATCCTTCCGTTCCGAATTGAGGGATCCTCCGTTATAGTCGAGCCTCTTTGCGTTCTCGAAAGCCCTTCGGAGTCTTTTGCCAATCGTCTGCATGTCGGAGAGCCGCATCCAACACGTCGTCACGGCGCAAGAACCAGAAACGCCGTGACATTTGCACATCTTTCGCATTGTTTTCTTGACCGCCTGTAAACGGAAGGGGTTTTAGAGTTCTGTCGATAGATCGAATCGATTTGATCTCCGTGACCGTAGATAAATGTGTCAGGAACCTTCCTCGCCGCCCCCGATGACCTGAGAGAATCGACCACTCACCCGACGTCCGACTCTGTTGTTGTGCAGATTAACTAGTCCTGTGTCGGTTCGCGGTTCATTGCTGTCCAAAAACTCCTTGGCGGTGTGCTCTCCGAATTTGACGTTGTCCGAACAGCCTCCCCATGTCCATTGTTTATCTATTAAGAAAGCTTTAAAATTTATTACTATTTCAGTCATTTTCTCAGACGGTACGCGCTCTACCTAATGGCGCCTGTAACGCGTGAGAATGTCGTCGCTCGGCATAATGACAGCGACTGCGGTCGCGATAAGAGCAACATGATTACCGACTTATGCTCATAAGATGGAGAGAGGGTTCTCAAGCGAACAAATAACAGAAAAGACTTCTCGCCTTCACCGGTGATGCGCTGAGCATTTGAAAACGGAAAAAAAAGTTCAAATTGCCGTCGGCTCTCCGGTCGCTCGATGAAGACGTAGCCGAGCATTCTGCTATGTTGTTTGAGTAATGGTCTGGAGCTGAGGTGTCGGCCCATCCCATTCCATCTTTTGGTTTGGTTGTTGCTTCTTCGCTGAAGACCACCGCCATCGACAAGAAAGTAACTTCACTCGCTGAGCCCCACCGATCCCAAGCAATGTTTTAAATGTTCAGTGACCGCGTCAGCGTTTCTTTTTCATTCGATCCTCCGCTCGGTGCGGGCCGTATGGATTTCGGATCTTGGTTTTCGCGTGCAACGGATCTCCGATTACCGCGTATGCATGGCCGCGAAAACGACGGGCTTGCAACGGAGCTTCACGTCGAAAGTAGCGGAGGATCGAGTGACTCTATCAGAACGGAGCACCGATAAGACGCGGATGCGTCGATCGCCAGACGGACGGACGGACGCCCAAGCGGAGGTGGAAATCACACATCCGTACCGTCGAGCCCCGGTGCAGAAGCGGCTCGGCTGCGATTTAGGCGCCTCCTCCGAATCCGGTTGAGTCGGGCAGCGAAGCTGCGCAAGATTATGCCGGGCGATAGATAGCTATCTGTGGAGCAACAGTCACACAGGATTCCCCATAAGACCACGATTGAGCGCGGATTTCTTCAGGGAGACATCGGCACGGAGCCGTGCGCCATCCGACTCAATCGAGGAGCAACAGCGACGGCTCGAGTGGCAGCCGAGGCGGCCGTGGAGCCGTGTGCGTAATGTGGACCAGCCTCAGGGAGAAACTCGCGTCAACCGAACGAACGAACGAGCAAATTCGTTCATATCTTCGCCTGTATCTGCTATTTAAGGCTGTCAGTCATCCTACGAGATCTTACGTCACCAATTCGGCCTCCGGGGTCTATCTGTTGCCTATTGCTCGTATTTCTAAGACGCCAAGAAGCGTCTCTTCCGTCACAATAGTTCTTTGTTTTACTCTTCTTTTTTCTCTCGACGCCGATTCCCTTCGATGGCATTTCTATTACTAGCAAGCAGAAAAACTGTGAGAAGAAGGCAACCTTTACCCGCGCCGGCCAGAATACACACCCCTTGAATACACAACACCACCACAAACCACCAACAGCACCACAACGACAAGCTGAGATTGCGTAGCCGTGTTGTAAATACGACAACTGACTGCTTCTCAGACGAACAGCCGGTAAAGCACTGCGGCCTAGAGTAGAAGATAGCCGGCCGACATTCTGCAAACGACGGCAGAATTTCTTCTTTACCATCTTCGGGAAAATGCTTGTCCGGGGCCGAATCCACGGAATGCAAGGCGGCGAGATTTCGTCTCTGTTCTCTCTGCTCCGTAGTGCTCCCGGAAAGACAAAGTCCATCGTCCGCGTCTCCAGTGGTCTAAGCCATTCGAGCGGAACCGGCAGGATCGATAATGTTAAAACCTTCGGTTTCGGAAACTCTAGAATAGATTTCTGCGCTCATTTCGGAATGCGACTGAACCCTCAAGCATTCTACGGAGGTGTGAAGGAACAGTACCGGGCACTCAAACGATATTTTATCTAATCACAGAACATCAGACATTACGACAGTAATTACTGAGAGGCGCCCCTTGGGCCGGCTGCGAGGACCTCAGACCACCCAGAGCATCAACGTGTATGGGGTTTTCTTTCCCTCTTTCATCCTCACTTCGTGGCTTAGTTCGCCGCTTGAACAAGCAAACGAGTGAGCGACCGAATGACGGACCGACCGCTAATCGAGTCATTTACCAGAGAAGCTGCAAATCGCTTTCAGGCATGATCTAGTTCAGCTGTTCACATTGTCGTCCCCCTTCTTGTCATTCGACGGGACGGGCCCGTCGAGTGGATAGCGAGTCGACTGAACGCAGTTCGGAGCTTGACAAACTCAACGTAAACAGTTCCAATGAGTAGATTGATAAGAGTATGCTTACCGTTGGACGCTTTTTTCGATTGGTCGCATCCACAATCGAAGTGACCCAATGAGCAGTTTTTCGTCAGAGTATACATGATCCCTGCGCTGATGATAGCGTGGACGAAAGCCTTCTCTCGCGTGGCTGAAAGGATCGAAGTGGCGACTGCTTACAAGTCATGCTTTATGATAATTTTTCATGCAGACTTCAATATGCATATTTTATAATTCTATGCAAAAGGTCGTTGATCGAAAAAGCAAAGGGATCCCAGCGGTGGAGCTCATCAGCTGCAGAGATCCGCTCGGCATGAGCACCCGACCGACTCGGCGCAAGCAAGGAGAGCACGAACAAACTAGAGACACAAGGAAGCAGAGAATCTCGGGGACATCTTAAGTTTATCTGTTATCTTTCGATCTAATGGGCCGTAATACGGTCTTTGGCGTGCGGCAGTGAGTGGCGGCGTTCACTTAGTTATTCTTCTTCTAGTGCTTAAGCTTTTTCTTGTTGTTTTGTGGTTGTAGTGGTGGTGAGGTGTTCTTCAAAGGAAAGAAAACGAGAGAAAGGAGAGAAAGCGGCCGCAGTGACTCCCGACGTTGCTGCGTCTGGGACGGCATTAGGAGCAGGCGCGCACGAGACGCGAAAGAAGTACTCAAATGTCAGGTCGTCGTGGTGTGTGTTTGTGGATACCTGAGCTCTCTTTTATTCGTCTCTATCTTTCTAATGGAAGATAACCTTATTAGCCAGAATCATGAAGCCGCGCACGTCAGGCTTCAGAAGATCTTCAACGTTTGCCCGTCTGCCTCTCGCTCGCTCGCTTGCTCACTTCGTCTCTGCCTCCTGTTGTAACGTCGAACCAGTCCTCGTTGTTGTTTCTATCGCTGCAACAACCAGTCGTCCAACAGCACGCAGGAGAATACTACTCGAGAGCAGAGAAATACGAAGAAAAAACGAGGAGACAGAACGAAAAAGAAGAACGCTGGGGGAGATGTTAATCAATTACGGTGACGTTATCGCTTTTTATCAACAAATATTGAACAAGCGGCAAGCCGCGTGGGAGAAGAGGCGCCTGAACTCAAGAGTCAAAATAAACATTCTTCGACAATGATCGTTCGGCCACCGCATCTCACCGAAACGTCAATCTCCGGCTCGCGCACGCTCCCTTCGGCTATACAATGATTGTCGATCATCTGATCGATCATTCCTTGTATTCATCCTTCCATCCATCTGTCAATCAATGTTACAGTCGATTCGCCTACGGCCATCAATCAAGTATTAATTGTGCACTCCTCTAACGGTGCTCGTCGTGCTGCCGATTTTCGTGAGTGATCCTTGAATTCTGTCGTGGCTTGTGAATGAACTTGAGAGAAGTTCGATCCCGTTGTCGGATGCGCGGCTATCATATCGTTGGATTGCGAGTTTGCTCAATACCAGTGAAGTGGAGGAGCCTCTTGACTCTCTTGCTATGTTTTCAGCCTCGGTGGGACCGACTCGATGGTGTATTACGTACGGCACTAATTGAAGAGCGATGCGATGAAGTTGTTGTTGTTGGGGCCTCCATCCGCCCCGTCGCGAGGTATGGCCACTAATATCATTACAGAGTGAACTAAACTGAAGTTCGACGTCCAGTAGGTGATCTATTTTGAGCCGGGTGGGCTAAGCTTCACCGTCGGTCGACCCCCTACGCTCGGCCAGAACGGAAAATAAAACATCTTTCGGCGTAGTGCGCCAGCTTCGCACAGTAAGTGTGCATTTCATCGACTTCGACCCTCTCCCGCCGCCGTCTAGGAAACCGTGGCTCGCGAGTACGCGGACCCCAGAAACCAGGCGAGACCCCAGTGACTCAGTTCACCTGAGATGATCCTCTGCGGCGGGGCGCGTATGCAGTACCGAGCTAGAAGGCTTGAATTCTTCCCCCGACAGTGAGAAATTCCGTCAGGAGCAGGTCCGGAGGCCGGAGTACAGCGCTGCATGATAGGTACAGTTCAGAAGCCGCTATGAGCGACGAAGAGCGACAAAGAAGAAGCCGATGGCTTTCTGTCCAAATCCGGTACAGGTCCTTGAAAGCACGGAGGAAGAGGCGCTCCTCCGCCATAAATAGAGATGTGTCATCGTCATGAGCGGCCTGTGAACATCGCCATCCGAAACCCCACGTATCGAATCAGTGAGCTACCAGTCACCGGAGCTTCTGCCGTACAGCCTCGATGAACGAGCCTTTGTTCGATGGGAGTTCGACGCTCCACGCAATCAGAGGAAAACGCTGCTATCGGGAACGACTCGAAGGCCGGTATAAATATCCCGCCACGCGGATTGCGCACGCGGTGCGGGCCATTATTTGTACGGTGTAACTTATGATAGCGACTTCTTGATGATGAGAGTGTCGCGGCCCGATTCTGCTTTATAATTGAAAATCAAATTCTCCCCACGTCGTTGAGATCGCTCACTTCAGCGAAGTGGAACATCTACTTCGCTGTTTTGACGTCGAGAATTTTATTGAGTAGAGAGCGAGAGAGAAGGAGCGGGCAGACGAGGACGATCGAAAGATAAAGCCAAAGAAGAAGGAGAAGAAGAAATCGAAGACGCCTGCCTATTTACGATGATGAAGATCACGACGACGAGCGAGCGAGCGCCCGATTAGGTAATTGGCCTGGCGTGCTTTTCGTGTCTGTCATAAGGAGATCAAGAGCCAAGCTCCCGGATAAACTCCCTCGCATTCACAGCTCGGAAGCAGCAGGCGCCGGGGCTCTTGAAGTGAAATGCCAAGCTTCCTTCATTATTTTAACTCACCAGGTTGAGAAGCGGGATTGTGGAAGACTGAGAATGCGTCTTTCGGACAGTTCCACGGATCCCATTTGAACTGTGATTGGCATTCTTCCATGCCGTGCTGAACTCCGGCTGCAACGGAATTCGCCAAGGCCAAGTTGCCCTGAAATCGGAAAGGAGAGAATCTGTAGTCGCAGTTGAGAACGGCTCCGATTGATTGACCAGAGGAAACACCCTGCATGTGACACCCTGATCGAATTCCGTCGGATCCTCATTTTAAGGATTACAGGACCAGGTCTCGAATGTCGTAGCTCTCTCGCCGGAGCTTGGGGACGGCCAAGCGTCTAATGAAGACTCGCCGTATGTCCCTTGTTGGTTCCTCAAACTATCCGCTCGTTCACTCGATGTAGAAAAGGTTAGACGCTCGATCGAGTTGATTCGGCTTGGCTATGTGCTTGGATGCACAAGAATGTCTCCTTCTGACGGATCGAACTATTGGCTGGCCGGTCGGTCGGTCGGTCGGTCGGTCGGTCGGTCTGTCTGTCTGTCTGTCTGTCTGTCTGTCTGTCTGTCTGTCTGTCGGTCGTCGCTCCAGACCGCTTGCTAGCTCGCCCGCTCGCTCGTCCGTCCGTCAGTCACCTCAGTCAAGAATGAGCGCTTACTAGATTAACTGAGATTAGAGATTCAAGCGGGAGAGAAGTGAAGGACTCTATCAGCTTGGCATCCGAGCGAGTGAGCAGGCAGGCAGGCAAACAAGCGGCCGTTTCGCGTCCATCGGCCGAGCATGAGAATCAACGCGCAACTCGATCTGTACGGAAGAGCGAGCGGCGAATGCAATCGAGCGACGACTGAAAATCGGATCTAAGGCTTCGGAAAGCAGATTTCCTCGATTCGCTCCGAGTCCGGCCTCGCAACCAGTGAACTCGCGTTTGGCTTTCTTTTTGGCTGGGGCCAAGAAACAGGCGAAGGGCGCCAAGCGCTCGAGGAGGATCTTGCCGTCGATTCGAGCGCCGAGCATTTTGCGTCCGTTCGAGGGCGACATAACTCACGGCGATATAATCTCCGGCGTTGGCGTTCTCGCTCCTTCTTCTTGTGTTTCACGTTGTTCGAAGGTACATACAATACCTCTAGTTCCCATCCGATCCAATTTAATCGCATCCCTTCTCCTCCGCTCATTCGCTACGTATTCGAGCAGAAGACAGAAGCAGACACTCTCTGCGTTTTCACTCTACCATTGCCGATTCAGAGTCGAGCAGGTCGTATTGTCTCCGGTGGGAACGAACGAATTCGGCTGGTATCAATCTCACGATCTTCATGTCGTTCGTTCGCTCGCTCGCTATGGGATAATTCCCTCGCGTAAGCCGACCGCATTACTGATTTCTATACATGTTTTCTTTTTGTCTTTCCTCCTTCTCTTTCGAGCTCCGACGATATCGGTTCGCTGGCGAGTCACAAGGGCGGCAGCCTTCGTCCGTTCGACCCGAGGGAAATCGTCGCGGATAGAGCATCGAACCAGACAAGGAGCTCTCTCGAGGAAAGGTCACTCGTTCACTTCACAATTCCATCAGATCTGGATTCGTCCGATGCTAATGAGCATGATCACCGCCACGTCATCAACGTCACCACGCCTTATCGGTTCGGATCGGCGAACACGCTGCGTGATGTATGGCTGCGACTAGCTGTGCTTCTGCTACTTCAGTGTGAGCTGCGGCTTCTGCTGCTACTGCTGCTGCTTCTGCCGACGGTGCACCTCAGCAGCGCCGGAACGAGCCGCTACGTACAAATGATCACGGCGATCATATCGCTCGATAAGGGAGCATCGAGAAGATATTTGTGGCGCTAGCGCTGCTGTTGTCGTCGGAGACAAACTACCGCGTTGCGAAGTCGAGCTTCGGAGCGAAAGACGTCCAGAGCGACTTTCAGACATAACCGCTAAACCTGTACTCGACAGATGAGTGGAAACTCAACCCATCGATCTCGTAGAAGGCGATCCATCTGTCAGAGGAGGCTTCGTGTAGGTAAGCGTAAAGACGAGAGGAATCCGATCCGATGCATGCCAGTAAATCCGCGATCACGTGTCGGCTACGCTAAATTGGTCTGTGAGAGAGATCAAACACAGCGTTTTTGGGGATTCCATTCAGTGAATGAAGTCGCATGTCTTTTCGTACCGGCCTGAATCACGGACACTCCAACCACTCCGGCTCGCCTTTTCGGCTCGAGGGCACTTGTTTTTCAACAACTTAAGGAGAGAGGACATCGAGCCTCTCGAGCCCAACGAATGAGATCACCCCCATCACCACGATCATCGTCATGTCACCCGTGCGAGCAAGCAGCTCGCTGGAGGGTCGGCTTAGTCAGAGGGCCGACGAGCGAGAGGACGACCTCCGGGTTATCCTCCGAAGGTGGCGTTCAAGGCCAATAAAGATGTTGATTACTGATTGCTTTATTACTTTAGAATATTCGAAAGAACAAATATTCCTCCCTACTCGAGTTTGACTCGTTATCTCTATCATCCTGTCTGTCGTCTAAACGAATCGAGGAACGAGAAGACGAAGACAAGAACCGAAGACACTGGGAGGGCTGCATGAGGATGACCGAAACGAGAGATCGCTCGAGAGAAGTGCTCATCCGCCCTGAATCGAGGCAAACTAGGAAATCATCGGATGAACAGCAAATTGTAATTCCCATGGATAGAGCTGAATTGGCACCAAGTGTTCTTCCGGCGTCTTGCTCCATGTTTTCAGAGATCGATTTGAGAATCCTCCGTGATGATTAATCCGAATGTCCAACAGGGAAGGCGACATTCCTTGTTTTGACTTGATCCGGCTTCGAGCGACGAGTCCGAGACAGAATGCATTGACGAGCAGAGGATTCGAATCATAATTCGATACGAACGTGTGTATGTTTGGAGTCATATATCGAGTCGTTCGCGATTGGAAGCGCCTGTTTTAAGCCATAAATTGACCGCTGGTCGATGCAAACGGATTTTTTCGTCGTAAATATGACAGACGAAGCGACTGAGCGTTGTATTTGAGCGGGGCTCGGAAGCTTCGAGCGAAAGTTTTCCTATGGGTTGACAACGTCAACGTCGGAAGGAGTCGCTCGTCATAAACTCCCAGAGTTGACAAGCTTGGCAGAAACGAGTGACTAATCGCTCCAGTCGGAGCAAGCCGGTTAGCGGCCTCGCTCTCTAAAAGCCAATGAACATCAAGTAGTCCTCAGGCGACTCTCGAGCGACGATCTCGACTACGATTGAGGACTTCTCCAGAAATTTTCCGGTCGGATCATGAAGAGGTTGCGGAACGGTAGCATTTGCCGCATCCGATCAACAAAGATGAGATCAACGGCATGCGAGAGTCGCCATTCGTAACTTCGGATCCTATCCCGGAAAAGTGTAATCGGATCAGACTGAGCGCAGGGCTATTATGAGACGGTGAGGTGCTGAATGATGAAGTAGAGAGCCGAGTCGAGCTTTGTTGTTATCATCGTTAGCTTAGTGAAGCCGCTGCGCTATCGAGTGCTCTCTCCCTCTCTCGGCCAACTAACCGGGCAGTCCGCCGGTCGGCTTGCTTGTTCGGAATGAGATTCCCGCAGAGTTTCGAATCTAGTGGCCTCTCGATGACAGTTGCGGTAGCTCGTCGTCATGTCACCTTCATTCTTAGCTTCGATGTGGCGAGCGAGCGAGTGAGCCACCCTGCCTTCTTTACATGCTCTCTCACTCGCTCCTCGAGTTTCTTTTCTACTGTCCTCTGGTTGCTCACTGTTGTATGCACGTCCGTTCGTCTGTCGCTCCGTGTCTTAGGAGTTCGCGCCTTCCTGCCTGCCTGCTGCAGGTAGACGAGCATGCTCACTCACGCACTCGCTCCCAGCCTTCGTGAAGGCTCATTAGAGGCTTTTCAGCGTTCGACTATTTTGTTCGCGATAGTCTGTCTCGCTGACTCGAGTGTTGTGCCGTGTGTTCTCTGCGTAGGTTTCCTCTTTTCTCCTCACTGGTTGAGCTCCGGTGGCCGGTGGCGCTTCTAGGTGGCCTTCACCGGAATCTGTATTGGGCACTTCGTCAGCAAGTCAATGACTTCGTCAAAAGCGGCAGCAGTCCGGGCCGCTCTCGTTCTGCATGCTCCAATCCGTCATCAAGCGCTTCAGCAGTCCACGCGATTTCTTTGCCCGATGGCTCTAGCCAGGCTGGAGCATCTCGAGAGTGGTGGAAGGACTGGAGATATGGCATCGGATATCAAGGACCGCCTCTACAAACACGCAGTCATTATCCCACGTCGGGGTGAACAGCTAAGGAGCAAACTCCACTCCCCGAAACTTCTCGACTCCGAGCACCCGGAGCCTCTCCAGATAGGTCGATCGGACCGTCGTGCTCGAGAGCCTCTTGTCACTGGTAGTTCGACGAGAAATTCCGTCGTGCACGATACAGGTCGATACTGCTCCCTCCGGAGTAGAGCAACGTACGGTCGGTGAAAACCAATGATATAGGTCGGCTGCGGTGGCGACGGTGCATGAGCCGACGCAGCGTTCTTCTCCGTGGGATCCTCGTCTTCCGTCCCGTCTAACTTTACTCCGTAATGGTCTCCCGTGGTTGTAATGCTGCTCTAAATCCACACTCGTTGACAAGTATCCCGTCGAGCCCAAGCGGCAATGCCCGAACGATGATGACGACGCCGGCGGCGGGCGGCAGTCGCTAAAGCGTCTATCTCGATGCTGGTGGCGGAAGAGCGACGGCGGGATCCGAATCAGTGGAGTGCACGAGCCTTCGAGGATCGCATGTACCCATGAAGGATCGAATCCCGAATGGAGTCATCCTTCTGGGCGGAAAACCCAGAGAAGGTAGAAGAGAGCAAGACTCAAAACCCATCCTCCAGGGATTGTGAATCTCGCCCCATAGGAACCACTCTTCCCGAAAAGGACTTTGTTGATGCCCGCATCTAGTTCCCATCTTCCCGAACCTATCTTCTCGTACGGAGAGCCGCGGCAGGCTCTCACTTTGCTCGCCATGATTTGACTCTCTCGCCTAAGTCGGCCATCATGTAGTTCGCTCGCTCGGTTGCTTCCACGCTCTCCTCCGCTCGCTCGGTAATCGTGAGGCGGAGACTTTGAAGCCGCTGGCCAAGGGACGAGAAAACGACCAGAAAGCGCTGATGATTCAATATAGCTTCTTGTCAGGGTGGTCTGTCTCAGGCGCAGCCAGCCCAGCATCAGTGGGAAGGAACACCAATTGCGGATTCGCTACACAATCGCGACCCTCGGCTTCCCCGCCACGACCGCGACAAGGACCACGAACATGACCAACACGAACACCACCTTCATCGCCGCTGCCGCCGCCGTCGTCGTCGGTAGGGAGTGCGACAAAGACCGAGTGGAGGAGAGCGACGACAGGCGAGACAAAAATCCAAAACCCGAGTAGAGTTCTCAAGACGAAGGAACTCAATAAGTCCGATAAAGCGCAGGAACATGATGAAGCAATTTGTCTATAAACGAGTGACGGATCGATATCTCATGAGGAGCGGCTTGATTCGTCGGCGGCATCGCCCGACCGGGCCGCCGACCGACCGAGCGACGGACTGACCCATCAATCAATCTATCTATCGACACCTTATGGAGGGCACTCAGATTATTCGCCGCTAATCACCATGAGCGAACAAAGCAGCGCCGAAACCTCGCGACTCAAATCAATACCGTCTGTATGCTCCGGAATTCCCTTCTCTCATGCGGACAACAAGACGATCCGGGAAAGAGCCGAGAAAACTCTCTTCTACCGAATTCTCGGTTTGTTCTTGACGTGTCTACATGCTTCACTCCTATCTGAGATGCATTCAAATTTTTTCAGTGTCCCACTGCTTCGACTGTTGAATATTGATCCAACGGTTCATGCTCGTCTATCCGCAACTCGACCTCTGAATGGAGCACGCTGTCAGCGACGGCAGGAGAATGCATTCTTCGAGTGGATAACAATCGCTCAACATATCCTGTTTGATAAGCTTAGAGGGTCGCGTAAGCGGCCGCAACAACGGCTCGAAACTTCACCCAGATTATCGAGACAAGGCACTTCGAGGAAAGATGGCTTCGCGGCCGCGGCGGTGTGTAGAAGCTAATTTGAACACCGAGCTCTTCCGTCATCATTCTCACACAGATACGTCCGTTGTCGAAGAACCCAGGTCCGCAGTACACTCACCTTCGTCATCGATAGGATCTGATTCGAGAATGACCTGCAAGCAGAACAAAATGAATTATTTTGGGATAATTCAGATTTTCACCAAACGTCGAGGAAGCGATCCCGAATTCGGGACGGCGAGCTCTGCGAGCGATTGCGAATCGAATGTCATCGAAAAGTCAGCTTCGAGAAAAACTCCGAGCTCAGACATCATCGTCCGTTCGAAGTAACCAAGTGACAAAATGAGTGACGAGGAAAAAAGAGGCGTTAAGAATGGTGAATTGGCTGCCGTTTCTGCTGGTGCCGCCGGGGATGACTATGCTAAAGAATAAAGGACCTCACACCCCGTCGGTCTCTTTGGGGTCATCGTCGGCTGCCGTCGCCGCCGCCGCCGCACCGCCACCATCGCGGCAGCCGCTGCTCGGCTGGGGAGTCCAAACCGTACAAAAGGAGGAGAAGAAATAAGAAGAAGAAGAAGCAATTTGGATAATGGCTTCGGTTGGTCGGAAGAAAAGAAGAAGCTCCGAAGTCCGTAAAGGCGATCGAAAAGGCGTCGATGATGAAGACACTTTCACTCGCCCGCTCACTCGTTCCATCGTTCCTTCGCTCGCTCAAACACACGGACGTACATGCGTGAGCGGACTCGCGCGCAGACAGCGCGAATCCGAAGACCCGAGAAAGAAGGAGACGAGAGGAAAATGAAGAATTCGGCGTGAAGTCGATACGAGGCAGGCGTCCTGCAGGAGCTCAACGTGAACGGAGCTGACCATCGCTTCATTTGATTCGGTTAGGATGAATTTTCAGCGAGCGAGATCGACTGCGAACTCCGGAGACCACCGAGGTAATCGCTCAATCTCCTCCATCGGGAGAGCTCGCGGCTCATCTCTCGCACCGCGGTCCAGGATCTTCCAGATCCAAGTGATCGACGCAGGGAAGGTCTGCGTCCGGAAGAAACGCGTGAGTGGTCATCATCGTATACCTCCGTGAGTAGATCTCTCAATCCTGTACGGAAAATGAGTGGGTCGACCTCGCACCATGTGTGCGCCTCGTATGACCTGAGTCTCTCGCTCACTCAGAGCGGTACGCCGCGGGACTGTTTCGGGGGAACTAATCAGCACTCTGTGTGAAGATGAAGGGTTCCGAACGCGGTCGGAAGTTTAGATCTTTGTGGGATTCATGGTTTCCAGATGTTGCAGTACTCGAATCCCATTGATTCTAGCGTCTGCATCGTCGTCGCCGTCTCTTCAAACGATCGAGGAAGTCTCTTGAAAGGGAGCGCCGACAAACTCCATTTACTGTTGCAAAATCGACAGAGGACGTAGCTCGTCCCCGCGGGAATCGATATCACATGTCGACCGTGGATCATGCTCCTCACGAGATGAAATTCGGGCATCGGTCCGTGCTGAATTCTGAAGCCGAATGTGTTTGTGACATCAATGTTATAATTCTGTCCATTTTCTGCCTCTCTTTCGGCTCCATGTGTCACAAGCAGGCGTGAGGTGCTTTCGAAGGCGTTTTCGAAAGTGTTGGGGGTGGCTTCGAGTTCGAAGATCGCAGGATTGTCTATTGGCTGGCAACCTACCGGGTCGCTCGGTTGGTTGGTCGGCCATTCGACGGGCTGCTCGGGTGGCCCCGACAACAGCAGAAAAACAGCCGGATTGGATTTTCACGGCTGCGTCCTCCTTCTTCTTTCGTTCTTACAGGCACGTTATTACGCGAGGGACGGCCACTCATAATGAAAGTCTATGGGTGGTCTCGAAGAATGCGGACAGCGGACGCGTGAACTTTTCAAGAACACTAAAGAGGATTCAACTCTCCGTCATAGCGATCGGGTCGAAGTCGAATCTCGCAACGCTTGCACAAGTGTCAACTAGCCGTCGCAAAATTCACGGGCGACGCGAGAGGAATTCCGACATAAGGGGAATAATGCGCATCCATGTCAGCGCCGTCGGAGATATCATGGGACATCCACGCGTCTACCGAAATGCAGAGAATTCATCAAGACGTGCGATGGGCGGCGTGGAACTTCGAGCCGGAATGACTTGTCGCGTGGCTGCTCCGGTTTCAACTAACGCACAGTGAGAGAACCTCTCGGCGTTTCCGACGAAAGGAACCGATTCGAGCACTTTGCTCAGTGGGAGCCGTGGAGAACGTATGACGGGGAGACGGACGGACGGACACACTGACTCGCTCACTGACTGTTTTTACGTCCGAATCGTGTCGTTCGTTGAGTCAGAGCCTCGATTCTGGCAGGAGCGGCGTAATCCTGAACTACGGCGCGCTATGTTGTTCGAATCTGGGAGACAGAACCGTCTGAGTGACGAGCAACCCGTTCACAGCCAAGATAAATGCCACACGGTCTTCTCCCTTCGAAGGGTTCGGCTCAGGAAGACGGTAGACAGCACAAGCCTTCTCAAGTTTACAGAGTTCACGGCATAGGCGACAAAAGAGTGACAGCGAGTCAGAAAACCGGTGAACATCGATGAGTGCGGCATCGTTCCTGATGTATAACGACTCCCGCCTAGATAGAGAGTGAGATTAGCCTTAAGCTCCGAAACGCTGGCTTGGGCGGAAGGGGAGTCGTCTTATTCAGCTGTTGTATCGTGGAATACTGGCAAGGGCATTCCGAAAAGATGATTTCTTGGGATATAATGAGGAGCTGGTCCACCCGTCCCTGTCGTGCATCGCATGCGTGTATATAAACCTCATGTTTCACACGTGTTCATTTGCGATCAGCCGGCGGTTTGCGAAGCACGGAGCGCGTTGAAGAGCGAGTCATTTTTTAGGCCTACTCGCTTTCGTTCTGCTGCCAGATGGAATGTCGCATGTCGTTGATCGACAAAGCTTTCGAACAAATGACTGAGTACGCCGGATACAATCAGCGAGGGAATGAAAAAGAGACGAAACACCGCTTCGAAACGGCTCCGATTTGGGAAATCGAAGGAGCCGAGCAGAGCCTCTCATTGATTTTGTCAAACTGTGCTCATTGTCTCCTGGCATCGTGAAGAATTCGATGCTCAAGAGGAGCGGTAGATGAACGAAAAAACAAAAACTTCTGAACGACGCAGGAACCGATCAGACCACGCTCTTCCCTCACTTCAGAATAATTTCAATCGTGGAGCAGCGCGAATCACGGACTCGACAAGGTATGGCATGTCACGCTCGTTGCGGACCGACCTTGATTACAGAGAGCTCCCCATTGAACGTTTCTGTCTTCCCGAGTTTCTGGCATCCGGCGCTGCACAGTCCATGTCTCAGAGTCGGGACTCCGATGCAAAGCGACATCGACGTCACCCGAGGGAGATATAGTCGTTTTCTTATCCATCATTCCCTTGCGGTATTCCGTCTATGACTGTTTATCGACGGCTTGCTTTTCGACTGTAGGCCGGCGTGGGGTCCGGGAGTCGGATCATAATCAGAGGGGGGTTTATCAGTAGGGGGAGAAGGGAGTCGATATCCTTTACTCACCACGCCATTGTGTTGTTTAGGGCGAAGATGGTTAGAATCCAGAGAAGAGTAGCCACCAGGTTGCTATGCCAGAGCATCTCCGAGCAGATTTTTTAAAAACGTAAGAGGGAACTTCCGATGAGTCACCCGAGTTAACAGCACACAAACAGCTGGCTCACAATGTCGATTCTTATTCCTCGAAGAACCACAGTGTTTCCCGAATTTTCCTTTCCCTCGTGGATGTTCAACGTCGGTGTCACATTCGAGCGGGAACGTCAAGGAATCGTAACAAGTTGATGGTGAGAGAGCCAGCGCACTGTCATTCGAAGATAACTTTCGAACAAGGTCTCCGAGCGAGAAACTCTCCGATTGTACGTATTTGTCCTGTGTGATGTCGATCGCCAACGACCGTCGTTCGTGTACACCAATGTTGTTGTGTCGGGGAACAATTCTAGCCGTCGAAGAAGTAGTTCTATGGGCCGTCGTCGAGCAAGGGAGGGTCCCTGACGACGAGGCGGTGCCACTCGCCAGAAGGCGGAGCAACTCAAAGATCGGAGAAAACTGAAAGGCCGGTGCTTCAGATCAATCTGGGCAGAAAGAAGAAAGCAAACCGTGCGTAAAAATATGCATATCGAACAAGTCGCGGCTTCCGAAGGCCGTCATTGACAAGTTGTCGACGATCCTTCCAGCGGGCGGTTGGCCGAGGCAAATGACTCACGATATCCGGCAGAGGCCAGCCGATGGTTCTGGAAGCGAACGCCTGCATGCAGAATCCCGTTAAGAGTGGGTAAGCGGCTCGGAATTGCTTCAAAAACGCGAGGTTCTGAGCAGGCGGGTACATAAATTCATCTGCGCCGAGTCAAACGATCAGCAGCGAGATCGAGATGTCTCATGCGCTTTCCTGGGTGCTGTTCAGTCGCTCCGGCCTCCGCCGGGCCCCGAAGTCCGCAGAGTCCGGTCAAGCGAACTCCCGGCGGGAAAGGACCGCTGGAGATCAGTTTCTGCCTGAAGTCCGAAGCCACCTGCCGTGAGGGTCGCCCGAGGAGAATCTGCTTTCAACTCAATCGCATGCGTGAAGGCGTAGTGTGAGGGAGACAGTCCCAGACAGTTTCCCAATCTGTCTGTGTCAGTTACCTGTACGGGATTTGTATCGATTTTTTTATTCTATTTTTTATTTATTTTTAAGCCACGTCTGTGGAACGGAATGTTTCAATCCCAAGGTTGTGTCGCTCAGGATGCCGCCGAGTGAGGAGAGTTGATGGGTTCGATGCCAATATCTAATGACCAATCGATTGAATGAAGGCATACCCCTTGACAACAATTTCAAAGCGTGTCGCGTCATGAGTGATGCTCTCGATCCAACCAACGCGTATCCTCGATCATAGAGGTCATAGACAACAAACTTATCTGTGATTTCAGATCCGGATCGTTCGGACAATTCAGTAGTCAGGAAGTCGTGATCCTTGACACCAGTGAATGTATGTACGTGTTGGACGTCTCGACATTTTTCGTGTAGGGGCTCAGCGAATATCCGATTCCGTTTTATTGCCGCGCTCGCACACAATCACTTTTTGTATGATTATCCGATCAATTATCGATGAACCTCTGATAACGTACATCCTCGATGCCCATGCATGCGCCTCAGACGTCTCATGGAAATCGGAGTAATCCGCGAAGATCCGGAAACACAGCCCTACTTCTGCGCACATTGGTAGATCACTCTGGATTCTATCGTCGCCCACCTGAAGCCACGGCCAGCGAGGTGGCTCAGTGCCATGTGACAAAGGTTGAGGGAGCTACTGAGGGCGAGAATCCTACTGCCGAGCACTGACCTGTTCGTCATCCTTTCGGACGCAGCAAGAAGAGCTCCAGTCTCCCGATATCGAGTTCCAAGCCGGAAAATGAAATAAGAGCGACTTACAGAACAAGAGGGTTATAGTCTCCCGGGCCTGAGAAGCTACGGCAGCTGTTCCCTGAGCTCCGCTCAGACGTGCCGCGATGCTTCTCGGGCTCTCACGCGACGCTCGATATGTTTTCCATGTCATGGGTGTTTCCTGGGATTCCTGCGAGCGCTGCAGACACATAATCCAATTATTCGCGACATTCCCCCATCATGACTCCCTGGGGCGAAATCGAGAGTCCTATCTCTAGTAGGCGCCCTCTTAAATAATACATGATGACTGATGACCCTTGTCGGAGCGATTTCTCCTTCAGGGCAAGTTCGGTACTTCATTATGTTGAGTCTATTGTTCATGTATGACGAAGTTCTCTGCCTATATAAATAAGTCTTCGATAGGATAGAAGATACAGTTGTTATCGGAAAACGAAGCTGAGTTGTACGTGCAGCCCAATCCTCAGAAAAGTAACCCTAATAGGTTATGGGCCCCCGCTTGTGCGCTGCTGGAAAGGAATCGAAAAGAATGGATCTGGCTAAGCACGTGAAGCAACTGTCGAGTGAGGCAGACTGGCCCCTCTGGAAGCGCAAAATGAGGGACATTTTGGATTATCATGAAGGCACGTTGGACGTGCTGGACGGTCTTCTGGTTCGCCCGGGTCCGCTAGCAGAAGATGCGACGCTCGAAGCTCAGAAAGAGCACAAGCAGAAGAGTGACATGTACCGCAAAGCCAACAGCTATGCCAAGACACTCATATCGGCAGTCGCTGCCTGCGTGTACCAGAAGATCATGGACAAGGAATCGGCGAATGATGCGTGGGACGCATTGAAGCTGTTGGTCGAGGCCTTTTCGCAAGACCAACTTTTCAAGATTTGCACCGATTACTTTGCCTTCACCTGGTCGATCGAGGATGACGCGTCGACTCATACCGCAAAGCTCGTGAAATTTCGAGACGGCGCCGGAGCCAAGAAAAGAGGAAGCACTGCCGGTGGGAAGAGAACGGCTGAGGAAGCCTCGCGGCAGATATGATAGACAGCCTCGCTGGAAGAATCAAGAGTCATCTGATCGGAAGCCGAGTTGGTATTGCAAGTTGAGCAGGCATTTTATGCGGGAGGGTCGAAAATGGATCAGCGAAGGAGCGTACAGTGATTCATAGGGAATTGTATTCGTTTTCGTGAAGTTGGGATTTTTTGGGAGCAGGCATCATTTGTTAGTTATATAAATTGTAATATAATGTAATATATATAATACATAGTATAGTAATATATTTTAAATAAAAATAAATATCTAATGAATGTATCTGTATATATAAAAACGTATGTCTGTTTGTCTGTCTGTCCGGGGTACCCTATATAACGGCTGAGCCGATCGTCGTGAAAATTCAGGAGCGTGTTCTGGAGGATCCAGCAGTGCTTATAGGGGGGGGGGAATCAGTTCTCCGATGCGATGAGTACTTCTACCTTGAAAAAATTATTTGAGTGGTCCACCCACGAAAATTCGAAAACTCGGCAAAAAATTGAAAAATCGGAAATTCGCAAAATTCACAAACGCCTGAACCGATCGCCGCGAAAATTCAGGGATGGGTTCTCGGGAGTTGTGGAAAAGCGATGAGGGGGTCGTCGTGCCCGTATGATGAGGATGAGCTCTTTCTTCCTTGGAAATTGAGTACCGGGTTCCTCAGCAGAAATCGTTCGGGAGTTTCCAGAGTTCCCCAGAATTTCGCAGATTTTTTCACATTATCATATAAGTTCAGGATGAGAAGAAGTATGGTCAGTACGAGTACAAACGATAGATCAAAGAAAGCCGGCTGTTCGATTGTCTGATTGAGAACCTAAGATGTCGATCCGACCGCGACACTTGATCATGCCGCGCTTGCCGTTGCTCTTGATTTCATCCTTTAGCTCACCGCATCCGGACACATGCTCATTCCAGTTTTCTATTTGATCCAGTTCGGGACTCTCATGGACGGAAAGCAAATCTATTTGCCATCATCAAGTTTCCGGAGTAAGCACTGAGCGCCGTCGGCACCCCTTTGAAGATGCCTCCTAACTCGTCCCCTTCACGCGGGTCGCCGAAACCTCTTTGAAGATGCCCCCGCTCATGGGATTCGAACCCCTCCTTTCCAAGGACGGCTATATTCCTTCTATTCGAGATCGCAAGTCCTCTTTCCTAATATTCGACCTTTCCCTTAAGTGTTTATCTATCTGCCTTCATCAAGTTTCCGGGGTAAGCACTGCGCGCCGTCGGCACCCCTTTGAAGGTACCTCCGAACCCGTCCCCTTCACGCGGGTCGCCGAAACCTCTTTGAAGATGCCCCCGTTCATGGGATTCGAACCCCTCCTTTCCGCGGACGGCTAAGTTTCTTCTATTCGAGATCGCAAGTCCTCTTTCCTAACATTCGACCTTTCCCTTGACCGTTTAGCAGGACATAAGAAAGCTCCGAGCCGCGTTTGCCCATCCAAACTCTAGAAACCGTGAATCGACAGTATCGTGTTGGAATCGGGAAAAGTTAGTTAGATCTCGACTCTCGAGTCATCACGCCTCCCAAAGGAACCAGATTGAGCCGGTCAACGAAGAAAGCTGCGAAGAGGAAGGCATCTCGGGAGGTAGAAACTGAAGGAGAACGACAATTGAGGTTGGCAGAACGTCGGGAGAGCCACGAGAGTGAAACCGAAGATCAACGGCAGAACAGACTAGAAGCTGATCGCGCTCGGAGCTCAACTACCCGCTCCAGTGAATCAGACACCCGGCGAGAAGTCAGAGTGGAAGCTGACCTTGCTCAGACTGCTTCCACTCGCGCCTGCGAATCAGAAGCTGAGCTAGAAGCCAGACTGGGAGCTGACCGCGCTCCGACTGCTTCCGCTCGCTCCCGCGAATCAGAAGCTGAGCGGACATCTAGAGTGCAAACCGATAGGCAGCTTCACGAGCCGGGACGACCGGAGGACGGAAAACACTGACGATGCTATTGATGAGATCGTCTCTCGGTCGATCGCTCGCGGATCATGCGAATTTCGACGGAAACCCGAAAGGACTGACGATGCCTTCGGAGTCTCGCGCACGCTACTGATAAGATGGCGGAGCTCCGCTGCGGCTGGCTGAGAGAGCTGCCATCGGACGTGCTGCCGTCCACATTCTGGCTGCGATCACCGCGAGCGAACGAAGAGCTGACGACTGCTCTCCATCATTTATTGAACAGAAAGGTGTTCCGGTATGGGTCATTGGTACAGTATGTACGACTCGCGCTTCGAGACGCGACACTCCCGGCCGGATTTGTGAAACAAATTCACTGATCTCTCTGCGTTCAGAATGAGAAAAGGTGTGGGCTCCCCGCGCACATGTTCAAAGAGTTGCCGAGTGTGTTTGTCTCATGATTTGATTTGTATGCGTGTTCACTATTAAGCGGGCAGGCAGGGGGACTCCATTTGTCCAGGGACGGCCTTGAAGCGACGACAAGTCGTACATTTCGCTATGACGTCTTAGTGAGGCGTCTGGCCTTCAGGACCAGATAGCGCCTTCTGAGATTGTGTAGAGTGCCGACGATTCCACCGGAATGGAGGCATTCCCGCGCGTGTATATTGAGAATTAGTAGCTTTACGGCGGGTTCGTCGGAGGGTAAAAGAATCGGGTATATCTCATCGTACGTGAACGATTCGGCTCTCTCAAGGCGAGTCCTGCTACGGATAAACCTGTCTTCACTGAAGAAAGGGCTGTATTTGAAAAGGGAGCTGGTTTTCGGCACGCTTTGGCATTCGGAAGAGTATTCTATCGGGAAACGCCTTTGCTGGATTCTCCTGATCAGGTCGTCTCGTGACAACACGAATTCCTCCGTAGATATAGTTAGTAGATTGATTGGCGGATCCCTTCCCGAATTCATGGCCGTTTGTCCCAAGCTTCCCTGTTGGTCGAGTCTAACTCGGGTCTGACAGAACTTCTGGGCGACTCTTCTGGTGAATGCCCAAATTCTGACTATCTTGGGCCAGCTGTTCGTCCGGCTGATTAAGGACAGTTCATCAAAGAGATGTTCCTGCGGAGCCGAGACGGTCATCATGCAGATCTCTTCGATACGTTCCGCATCTGTTTCTGTTGTGGCTCTGGGTGTGTTGAGTGGGTGAAGGCTCGGATCTTTACCAAAAGGTTCCAGCCATGGCGGTCCTTTGAGCCACATGAGTTTCGTTGCTTCCTCGTTAATGTCCATGGCCCTGCTAAGTATATCAGCTGGGTTGTCTGAGGATTTGACGTAAGACCAGTCCGATGGGCGGGACGAACTCAGTATTTCTCTTGTTCGGTTAGCCACGAATGTTTTCCATTTCGCATTGGAGTCCCGTAGCCAGCCCAAGCAAGCGGCGTTGTCAGTATAATAGAGCTTCCGCGCTGGTTGGGGAATCAAGTAATTGCCCACCCTTAGCGCAATTCGGGCTGCCACGACCGCTCCCTGGAGTTCGAGTCGGTGTATCGTCTGCTTGCTCTTTAGTGGTGAAACTCTCGCCTTTGACATCAGAAAGGAAACCTTCGCAGGACCGCTTGAGAAAATATCTCGTACGTAGCAGACACAGCCGTACGCCGAAAGACTCGCATCAGAGAACGTATGTAATTCCCTGACCGCCAGATTCCTATCGTCGGTTTTCAAGGGACGTGGTACACTGAGACTGCTTGACCTTTCGATGCACTCGCGAAATCGAACGAAGTCGTCCAGGTCGTCGCCCTCGAGGTCTTCATCCCAGTCTCTGGCTTTCTTCCAGAGCTTCTGTAGGAGAATCTTCGCTGATACAGTAGAGGGCGACATTATACCTAGGGGGTCAAACAGCTGGGCGAGAGCCTTCAGTAATATTCTCTTCGAGGCTCGATCGGACTTCATCTCGACGAGCGCCTTCTTGGTAAAGACGCCGAGCGAGTCTTCCCTTTGGTTCCATTTCACTCCAAGGAGTTTCGCATCTGTTTTCTCGCAGGTCACATTTACGTCAGGAAACGGTACGGTGAGCGGTATGATATCCGCAAGAGCGCTCGAATTAGTTGACCATTTCCGAAGTCGGAATTTGCCTGCGTAAAACATTTCAAAAAGTAGCTTGATCTTGTGAGAGGCTTCGTTAAGAGAGTCTCCACCCGAGAATACGTCGTCCATGTAGTAGGAATCGATTACTTCATTTGCTAACGCAGATTTTTGTGTGTCCTCCGCTGCTTGTGACTCCAGGAGCAGTTTGATAGTTTGGCAGAACAAGAAAGGGGAGCAAACCAAACCGAAGTCCAGAGATGTGTTCCAGAATTCTTGCCATCGAGCCCTCGGGTTTGTGGAGATTCCGAGGGGCCACAGAAAACGGAGAAATGTCCGATGGTCGGGGTTTACTTTGATTTGGAGGAATGCTTTCTCCACATCCGCCGCTACAGCGTATTTGAAGCGTCTAACGTGTATCAGTACTTTGAGTATATCGGGAAGCAAACTGGGTCCCTGATGGAGGACATCGTTCAATGATGCCCTGTCCGCTGATCTTGCAGATGCGTCTTTAACGATTCTTGACTTCTTCCCTGTCGGGTATTCGGGGGAAGACTTAACGATCGCCTGGATCGGCAGATAATGTGCCGGCTCCCCATCAATTCGTGGCGGAGCCGGCTCCGCGTAGCCATTGCTGATGTATTCCGATATTTCCTTATCGATGGTTCCGATCGTGTCTTGATCGTTCGCGAGACTGTTTAACAGTCTGATCAATCTAGATCTCGTGAGCGATTCGTTATCCCCTAGCGTTTCGAGATTGTTGCGAAAAGGGAGAGAACGGAAAAGCGTCCATCCGCTAGTTTTCTCGTCGTTCTTCTGTGATGCTTGATCAATTCCTCATCCAGCTCGTCTATTTCGTTCTGATTTTCGTTTGGACTTTCGATGCCCAGAGTTTCAGAATTCCAAAGGAAGTCTATATCTTTAGTCAATGGTTCTTCTTCGACCGGAGAAACCCTCGACTCTTCGGGTCTCCATGGCTGGATGAGACTGAAGGCGCACAGGCTTGGTGGGCGTGTGTCCGACTCTTTCACGACCCCACCGTAGAAGAACCAACCGAATTGGGTATTGAAAGCTGATAAACCGTCGAGGAGTCTTTTCTGCTCTTTCTCGATTTTTGGTAAGATATCTGCACCCAGCAGAATCTCTATGGATAAGTCCTCGCCATCTCCGCCGAGATCCGCGCTTGGCGTTAAGCCATAGGTCTGCTTAACCAGCGGTAGAACCGACTTTGAGATTTCGGCTATCTCGAGACACCTGACGGGTATCACGACTTGCGGAGAAAAGCAGCTCTGTAGAGAGAGTTCGTATATCTGGAAGCGTTGGACATCAGAGACATTACCTCCGATGGAGCCGAGGGACAGAAGCGTTGAGTCTGTCGGCTTCGCGGCTAAGTCGGAGATTGTTCTCTTGCTCACATATGACCTATGGGAGCATGTGTCCAAAAGGATTCTGACTTTTTTCTTCCTGTTCCCGAAGTGTGCCCAGACGAAGCCTGTTGGAAGGAGCGTCGAGCCTTCGAGCGCGTCCACGCTGGAGAGAATGGTGGTAGTGACGTCACACTGACTGACTGACGGCGAGACTTTGTCTTGTTTTGGACACATGAGAGGGTAATGTTTGTGTGAACAAATCGAACACCGAACGTTCGCTTTGCAGTTGACGGCTGAGTGATTCAATCGTAGGCAACGGAAACACGCCCTCTTACTCGATACTTTCTCTTTACGTTCTTCTAGGGTAAGTGGCGCTTTGCAGTTTCTGCTGAGGTGGGATGCCTCACAGAAAACGCAACTGTACATGTGTCGTCCCGCGGGGACGGTGCGGCTTGTGTTTATGACGGTCGAGCTGAAGTTGGCCGACTGATGTTCGAACCGAGCCGGCTTGTAGTTAGATTGAGAATCATTCGAGGAATAGGGAGTTGGACTCCGGTATCTCGTCGAGCTGTCCGCAATCTTCCGGTGGATTTTCACCTGCCGCTCCAGAAAATCTATCAGTACCTCCAACTCACAGCGGGAGTCACCGCTTTTCCGTAAATCCTCGTAAATGTCAAGAAACTGAAGTTGTAGTGAACGCGGGAGTACTCGAATTAGGTTGTGTACGAGGAATGTGGAGAGCCCGTCGATCCTTTTCCCGAGAGCCACGAGGGCTAGAACGTTTTGAGAGAGAGTCGAGTGAAAATGTCTCAACTTATCTGGGCGATGGAGATCCTTGGCGTTGAATAGTCCGCTAATCTCCTTCACATGTTGTTGCTCGGCATCTTGTTCGTCACCGTAAACGTCGTGAATCCTCTTCAAGGCAATCTCGTATTGGCTCTCACAGAAACTTATATGCGCTATTTCCTGTCTCGCTGGGCCGATGAGGCTTTCTTTCAGCTTTGCGAACTTCTGAATCACGGGTATGTCTTTGCTGTTCACGTACGATTCGAAGAGCTGGGACCATTCACGGAATTGTTTGAAATTCCCATTGAACTTCGGCGTACGCGGGGATTTCTCCTGAACCACCTTCACTATCATCGGGAGGCTTGACACATTTGTCTCCGGGCCTCGCTGGTCACCGGGATCCATCTGGGGAGTCGAAGCTCTCTGATCATCCGCATCCGGCTGGATGCATTGGTCATCGGCGCTCGCACCGCCAACGGAATGTTCACTACGATCCGCCAGTGAGGCTTTCTGCAAGTCTTCGAGATCGCTTTGGGCGCCGATCACCATTTCTTCAAAGAAAATCACCCGATCGTAATCCTCCACCAAATCCGAAGGGTTGAGTTTTCGCATCAGGTCCGCAATTTCTGTGTCGAGTGTTCGCAGCTCTGACTCGGAACGCTCCAGCATTGTTGCGTGGAGTTTCGCGTGACGGCGAATGTTTTCCGGGGGGTTCTCGCACAACAGTTTTATCCTGTCGACCCGATCTTCCAAACTATTCCTAACCAGAGTACGTCTGGCAATCTGATCTTCGAGGATTTTCTCGTACTTTTGCCTAGTTTTCCAATGTACTCTCGAGGCGCCAGGTGTAGCTGAAGCCCTCGAGCTACCGCATTGATGGGCATCTATTTCGGCTTGGGAATTTCCCGGATCTTCGTCGGGTTCCTCCATCTCCGGAATGGCGATGTGTTTCGGTTTTTCTTCGTTGCTCATGGTCGATATGACGAATCGATTCGATCACTAGCTGACGGCGTGGCCTGCTGAACTGGTTCCAACGCGCAAGTTCTTCTGAAGTAACTTCTGACACCAAATGTCACGAGCCGGAACGACCGGAGGACGGAAAACACTGACGATGCTATTGATGAGATCGTCTCTCGGTCGATCGCTCGCGGATCATGCGAATTTCGACGGAAACCCGAAAGGACTGACGATGCCTTCGGAGTCTCGCGCACGCTACTGATAAGATGGCGGAGCTCCACTGCGGCTGGCTGAGAGAGCTGCCATCGGACGTGCTGCCGTCCACATTCTGGCTGCGATCACCGCGAGCGAACGAAGAGCTGACGACTGCTCTCCATCATTTATTGAACAGAAAGGTGTTCCGGTATGGGTCATTGGTACAGTTTGTACGACTCGCGCTTCGAGACGCGACACTCCCGGCCGGATTTGTGAAACAAATTCACTGATCTCTCTGCGTTCAGAATGAGAAAAGGTGTGGGCTCCCCGCGCACATGTTCAAAGAGTTGCCGAGTGTGTTTGTCTCATGATTTGATTTGTATGCGTGTTCACTATTAGCTTTGCCGACTAGATGCCCTACTGGCTAGCGTTCTCGGCTGGACGTTGAGATGGTTCGTCAATCGGAGCACTCTCGAGTTTATAAAGCAGCTGGATTGGTCGGTTGTAGGTCTTCCCATTTGCGCAGCGTATAACGCAGGATCGCTTCTTGCCGTCTGTCGAGTCCCCTCCGTAGAGTGACATAATCCGGCACAGTGGCCAGGTCGCTCTATTCGGGCTTTCATCGAAGAGCAGACAAACGTCGCCGGGAGCGAATTCTGTAGATTTGCAAGGGTTTCGGGTGTGCATCGACCTTAACTGTTGTAGATACTCCGATCGGAAACGTTTCCAATATGCGCTTAGGATATTTTGTAGATAAACGTGCCTCTGTAAGAGTATGACGGCGTTCGAGTCTTCTCTACGGACCTCCTTCAGATCTACAGTCGGCAGACGGGTCGTAGCTCTGTAGCCGAACATCAGGTCGGCGGGAGTAAGAGCCCGGATGTCATCTGGCGTTGTGCTTACCGGCGTAAGCGGCCGACTGTTAACCATAGCTTCGATGTCCGTGAGAATGGTCTCGAGTTCGCGAAAGAACGGGACTTTACGGCGCAGAACTTTCCTGAGGGGCCGCTTCACGACCTGAATCAACCGTTCATGAACTCCGCCTCTCCAAGGGCTTTTCTCGGTGATGAAGGACCATGTAATTTCCTTTGAGTTCAGCCACGAGTTCACATCGGGGCTTTGGAGGTGCCTGAACATGATTCTAAACTCCCGCGCGGCTCGTTTGAAGGTCAGCCCGTTATCTGACAACATTCGGACGACTGTCGGGAAGCGGTTGACGAATCTGCGGAATGCCAGGAGGAATTCAAAGGTGGTCATATCCAGGCACAGCTCCAGATGCACTGCACGGATAAGGCAACATGTATACAGGAGCAGATACCCTTTCCGAGTTTTGCCATTCTCATCCTTGTACGCTAGTGGTCCGGCAAAATCGACTGCCGTGGTTGACCATGGGATATCGTGATCCACACGGAAAGCGGGCAGGCAGGGGGACTCCATTTGTCCAGGGACGGCCTTGAAGCGACGACAAGTCGTACACTTCGCTATGACGTCTTTAGTGAGGCGTCTGGCCTTCAGGACCAGATAGCGCCTTCTGAGATTGTGTAGAGTGCCGACGATTCCACCGGAATGGAGGCATTCCCGCGCGTGTATATTGAGAATTAGTAGCTTTACGGCGGGTTCGTCGGAGGGTAAAAGAATCGGGTATATCTCATCGTACGTGAACGATTCGGCTCTCTCAAGGCGAGTCCTGCTACGGATAAACCTGTCTTCACTGAAGAAAGGGCTGTATTTGAAAAGGGAGCTGGTTTTCGGCACGCTTTGGCATTCGGAAGAGTATTCTATCGGGAAACGCCTTTGCTGGATTCTCCTGATCAGGTCGTCTCGTGACAACACGAATTCCTCCGTAGATATAGTTAGTAGATTGATTGGCGGATCCCTTCCCGAATTCATGGCCGTTTGTCCCAAGCTT